TTGTTGATCTATCCATTGTTGATAGTGGTGTGTTGAAGTCTCCCACTACATATGTGTTTTCTCTGATGTCTGTTTTCAGAGAGGACAACAGTTGTCTGATATATTTTGGTGCTCTTTCGTTTGGTGAGTATATGTTAATGAGTGTTATTTCTTCTTGAATTATTGTCCCCTTAATCATAATGTAGTGACCATTGGGGTCTCTTTTTATTTTTTTGAGTTTGAAGTCTGTTTATCTGATATAAGTATAGCTGTTCCTGCTTTCTTTTTTGGCCCATTTGCTTGTAGGATTGTTTTCCATCCTTTGACTTTGAGCCTATTTTTCTTTTGTAGCTAAATGTGTTTTCCTGGAGACAGCAAAAGGTTGGGTTTTGTTTCTTAATCCAGGCTGCAACTGTGTCTTTTTATTGAAGAGTTTAGTCCATTTACATTTAGAGTTAATATTGATATGTTAGCATCTGTATTTGCCATTATGTTTGTCTTTCCTTTGATTTTATTTATTTATTCTTTTAATAACTTTTTTTTTTTTTTGGTCTTCTTTCGTTGTTATTCGTCCCTCTGAGGTTCTGGCTTTAGGATTCCTTGTAGTATTTTTTGGAGTGGGGGTTTAGTCGCAATGAAATTCCGGAGTTTCTCTTTGTCTGGGAAGGTCCATATTCTTTCTTCATGGAGGAAAGAGAGCTTTGCGGGATAGAGTATTCTTGGTTGGCATCTGTTTTCTTGGAGTCTGTTGACTATGTCCCTCCACTCTCTCCTTGCCCGTAGTGTTTCTTCAGAGAAGTCTGATGTCAGCCTGATTGGTTTTCCTTTGAATGTTATCTGTTTCTTCCCTCTTGTCAGCTTCATTATTTTTTCCTTGTCCTGGATTCTTGGAGAGCTTTACTATTATGTGTCTTGCTGTGTTTTTTTTCCTTTCGTCGTGGAAGTTTGGTGTTCTTCTTGCTTCTTGTATATCAATTTCAGCTCCTTCTTCTCATTTGGGAAGTTCTCTTCAATTATATCCATAAATATTTTCTCTGTTCCTACATCTCTCTCCTCTCCTTCTGGAATTCCTATAACTCTTATATTTCCTTTCCTCATGGAGTCAGATAGTTCCCGAAGTCTTTCTTCATTCTTTTCCTTCGTACTTCTCTTCCTTTTCTGTTTGGTTCTTTTTATTTTCTGTGTCTTCAAGATTACTTATTCGTTCTTCCATTTCATCTATTCTGCTTTCATTGCTTTTCCCAGAGTTCTTTAGTTCCTCCATTAATTCTTTGATCTCCTGCATTTCTCTTACTTCCCTCTTTAGGGACTCAATTTCCTTCTTCTGATCTATCACTTTTTAATCATGGCAATTTTAAATTCTCTTTCTGGAAGGCTCAGAAGTTCTTCCAAGTTGCTGTCGTTGCAATCTGGGGAGTGGTTTTCTTTTTGTGGTGTGCTTCTTTCCTGAGGAGTTTTTTAGGTTGCGTGTGGTTCTTCTACTCCCTACTGTCTGTTTTCTAATTTGTCGTATGCGTTGGGACACTGTGTTGCTCGGACTGACTGACATCTTGGGTGAACTTCTCCGCTCCCCTCTGGCTCTTCCAGGAGCCATCTCTGTCTTCTGGGGAGCTTTCTGCTGGTTTTAGGCAGTTTTTACTGAGAAATATCCCTGTTCTCAAATGGCGAAGCGGGATGCAGTCCCTGCGCCCGGTTTCAGGCACACTCTTCTGCGCGCACCCGTCTGCCCCGGACGTGGGTGCCTGCTCCCTCTGTGGGCTCAGACTGCTGGTCGGAAGGGGCCTGGCGTGGAATAACTTCCCGGCTGGCCACTGGGTCCTCCAGAAACCTGCCCTTTTCAAGCAGTCTTAAGAAATGTCCTGTTTTATAGGGTGTTAGTGACTTTTTTTTTTCCTGGTCGCTAGGTGGCGCCAGAGATCTCTCCTATTGTCCTTGGGGGCTGTTTCGCCTCCCCCACCCCGTGGGACAGAGAACAGAGCGGGAATGGTAGGGTAACACCTCAACAGCTTTGGGGTGCTGTGTCTGCCTTGTGCCCCACCGTCGTGGAGAAACCACGCCCCGAATTTTCGTGCCCCGGGTCTCAGTTCAAAGCCCTCAGTTCCAGGACGCGGGCTGTAGCCCAGTTCAGTGGCGCGGGAATGGCGCCTTTTGCACCGCTCCGTACCTGGGCACCTGGTTCCTGCTTCACTCAGGGAGGGACCTTCATCAGTGAGGACCTCCTCGCGTCTCCCCGCAAGCCTAGGTCGCAGGCGCGGGGACCTGGGCAGCCGCGATCCAGGTCTGCACTTGCTTTTCAAGCGCGCCGAGCGAGCCGCTTTCCCGCGCCAGCTTACCGGCAGCCCGGGCTGTGTGCGCGTCTCCCGGGGTCTTTGTTCTTTCTAATGGCGCCCGGAGCCGTTCGCTCGCTGGCGCGGCGAATCCTGCAGGGTTCGCCTCAGCTCCCGTTCACGGGGTGTGGTGGCTGCAATAGTTCCTTTCCACTCACAGTCCCGCTTGCTGCGTCGTTTGTTCTTGTGGGCCGTTTTGGTTTGTTGTTTCCTCCTCTCTGCTGGTCGGAGAGTGCCGCCTCTGTGGGCGGGGGAGGGGAGCAGGGTTCTGCGCTTCCTCCCTTCTAGTCCTCTTTTATTGAAGATTCCACTACTTCATGCAAAAACAAAAATGCTCAAAAAAAAAAAAATGCTAAACAAAATGCTCAAACAAAAAAAAAAAAAAAAATGCTCAAACAAAAAAACCCTAAAGGGCATCTTGTCCTCTATTGAGACTAACTTTCTGGCACTGTTAACCCATTTTTCACTTGACTAGGCCATTCCAGGGAATACTATGACTTCTGCATAGGCTGTCCTTAGAGCAGCAGTTCTTAACTCAAGTCCATTGATGAGCTATGAAGAAAAAGTATGGAAACCTTTGAAATTGTGGGCCATGCGGTGATCTTGCAATTTTACTTCTTAAGCACCAATTTCCTCATTTATAAAGTGGTATATATACTAGCTCTTCTCTCACAGGATTACTGTGAAGATTAAATAGGGTAAAAAAAATGATAAAGACAAAATGTCTAAAGCAACATGTAAAAGAGGGGATTAGACTTACTGCATTATACTTTTAAGGAATATATGGAAAACAGGAATAGTAGAGTCAGCTCCAAGTATAAAGTGTTTTTATTTCAGCATCCTGAAGTTCTGAGACTATGATGGATTAAAGTAGAACTATGAGCTAGAACTAAGGAGACATGAAAAGTTAATGGGTAGTAAATATAATAGAGTCCAAACTTGCTCAAAATACAACTCAGATGGGCATAGAAAATGTATTTAGCCTATCGCAGACTGGTTTCTTCATTATTACTCCCACTCTATGTCCTTTCCCAGTACATGTCATAATTGGTAGAAATATGGTGGGAACTAACCAAATGCCCAGTCTGTTAAAACCTTATTCTGATAATTTGAACATTCCCTTTGAATAATTAGTTCTTCTGTATAAGAATACTTAAGCTCTTAGCCACTTCCTTCCTGTGGTTCTCTAAGACAGAATCCGGTATATGGATTAGTTGGGTGCATAGCTCTTATTGCATCATGGGAGTTAAAGGAGAAGGGATCTCCTGAGTTTTAGTTGACTCATGGATATGATCTATTAGAATCTGCTCTCCCTTGTCTGCCTTTCCCTGGTGATGCCTATAAAGCCCATGACTGGTATAATTCATAGTCTGGTCTTGCTTTTAGCTTAGAGCATGGTGGTATTTTGACTTTATCTCTTCTATTGGCGTTCTAAAGCCCTGTAGAAGCTAATAGGCCTTTCCTCTAGCTTGCTAGTTCAGTTGCCAGTCTTCCAGTTTTGATGTTAATTCCCATGATAACTGATTTCCTATTGCTCTAAACTCAAGGTGCGCGTCTCCTGAGGCTGAGGGGTTCAGTTAGTCTCTTTCTGGACTCTGCTTCTCTGCTCTATGAGCAAAGCTGGGCAGCCCCATGTGAGTGTGGGGCCTCTGCGCTGCAGTCTGTATTCACTCTGCCTTCAGTGATCCCTTCACTTAACACATCCTTTATGGGCCAGAGCTCAAGAGGGAAATTGAGCACACATCTTTCTTACTGTTTATTTTCTCCTTTCTGCCATTTCCAGGACTGGAAAATGGTTGCCTTTCCTTTTTACCTGTGGGGAGAGTATAGTTTTCACTTTATGACTCCGGAAATTACCTGTGGGGAAGGTATAGTTTTCACTTTATAACTAATATGTGATAGCCTAGTATATTTGTAAAACATAATTAGTAGAAAAATGAAATAAAAAATTAAAATTTGCAATAAAAATAAAAATCCGTCTTTTAATTATTAGATTCAATGGACATAAAATTATTCTATCAAATTGCTATAGACATTTCCAAGCACTTTAAATTTCCCTGTTTATACCATCATGGACCACTAAAAGGTGATATATGGACTGGCCCATTTTTGATTCATGGCCTCCTTGCTGATTCCTACTAAGCCATAGTGTTTAACAGTGGCATCTTCTTTGAATCCCAAGGAGCACTATGAGCATTGGAATGGGCACTCTTAACTGTTACTATGTGTATGGAAATCAAAAGGATCTGAAAAATACTCTTCATAGGACCATGATCTGCCTTGTGAGGCTATTCTCATATGACAAAAATCTGATTTTTAAATGTCAGAAACAGCAATACTTTTCTTCTTGCATTTCTATTAAATTCTAATATCCCCATGGCAGATGGGTACCTTAGGTGAACTGTGAAGGTAATGAGCTCAGAAAGGCAGAAAAGAAAAGCACATTTATAATTACAGCTCCTTACCCATTTTATGCTAATTTGTACACTGGCAAACATTGAGAAAATCACTCCATTTTGTTAGAGTTTTGCTGTGATTTTTTTGTTTGTTTGTTTTATTTTCTTGTCAGATATGGCACCAACCTTCTTGGCAACTAAGAGAGTAAATGTTAAGAAAGTGATTATTCTATGTAAGTATTTAATCAAGGTCAGATAGTAAAAATGATAAGGTGTGTTTCATTTCCATTTTCTATAGGAGCTAAAGTTAAAAACGGAACAGGAAGATCACAAAGTGAAAACTGAAGATTTTGATGTAGTTAAGGTGAAAAGGAGAAACGGCTCACTGGGAAGTATAGACCAGCTCCAGGTTTGTTGATTTTATTTAGTGTCTCTGGGTTTCTTTTCAGTTTGGTGCTTGTCCTTTTAAAGGTAAAAAAGTTGTGAACTCTGAATAAAATCTTTTAAATACTAGACTGTATTTACCATGATAGTGCAAAATTTCTAATATGTCTTCTGAAACCATTCTGTTATTAAAAAAATGACTTGTCCAGAAATGTGCTGTATTCTTATTTCAACAAAAATGGGTTTAGTGGAATGTAAACATGAAATTCATGTTCACTAAATTGTATTTATTCTCACGTAAAGACTGGTTTATTCCCAAGAAAATATATTTCTATAAATAAGAATTCTTCATTCAAACATAACTTAATTGTATATGCACCACCTGTAATATATTTAAAAGCTATTTATTTAATGCCACGTTTAATGAAATCTATAAAAATATAGTTTAAAGAAACAAAATTTCAATTTTATGTAATTTTTCAAATTCTTACGGAAACATTGCATTCAAAATTTAAAAATAATATTCAAATGCAAATATGTCACCTTCATTCTGAAAATTTTTAGAACTTTCTAAGATATAGTGAATTGCACAAATCATATCTTTTATCATCTCAAATGCAGAAAAATCCATTTATTGTTTAGCCTCACACCTGGATTATGCTAGCAGACTCCTTCCCATTCTGAAAGCACATCTAAACCATTACCTACTCTGTGAGATTAGCACTGACATTTCCCACTTCCCAGACAGAACCCATTCTACCTTCTGTTTTTTTCTTACACATACTTAGGAGTTATATGTACACAGCATTACCAGCAATCATAATTTTTTTGGTTTCCTTTCTGTTGTATGGAACTTACAAAGAATCTGTGAATCATCTTGCAAACTTTACACACAGTCAAGAAATGTTTGTAGAACATGTTGAATATTGCTGGACTTTATAGGGTCTCCTATATGACTTTTTTCTAGAGATTTATTTATTTATGCATACAAGAACGGGGGTACAGGCCAGAGGAGTGGGGAAGTGAGAGGATTCACCAGAGACAGTGGGGAACAGAGCAGGCAGATTGATTGAAATACACTGCTGAGAGGAGCAGCGGGCGAGACAGGAGAGGTCCGCTGCACCATGTGGGTGGTTCCCTGGCTAGCCGGGTATCGAACTCGTGCTGCAGTGTCTGTGGAGAGCTTCACAGTGCTTTGCCTTAACTCCTTGCGCCACCAGGGAGGCCCCTCCTGTATGACTTTTTAAGGTATAATTTGAAATAACAAAACTAAAGTATTTCTTTAATTATTCTGGTATATTCTACCTGTTTCTCATAAATGTAAAGCTTTAGAATAAATAATTTTTGATGTCAATATTATTTGGATCTGATAGTTCTTTATAGGACCATATTATCCTAGGCCTGGATGGAAGGTTGCATAGTTCTAGATCTACTTGCCTTGGCCATCTTGGTCTCTTTTTCTCATGCACATTCACTGTCTTAATGTCTTGGTATAGATTTGTAGCAATTGTCTTTTATCAAGTTTGAGAAGGACTGGAAAATAATATTGATTTGTTTTCCAACTGTTTGGATGGCTGTGTCTATAGTGCAATGGGTAGAGTTCATTTTGGATAGTTATATTACACTCATATTTTTGTTTGTGCTTGTTTTTGAGTTTTCTTAATTCAAGAGAATACAAATATGCTTGTTTTGGAACTCTCTCCAGCTCTCTACTTATTATAATTTATTATACTCATTCGATGATGGCAGGCTAGAATGCAGATTGTATTTCCTTGCTCCATTATCAATCTTACACTGTGTGTATTCATATATTCACATCATTGATTAATTAATTGAATCAGGTACTCATTCACTCATTCAACATTTTATGGAAGGCCAGTCACCAGGCAGTGGGGAGAGAAAAGTGAAAAGCACAGTCCCTGCAACCAATCTAGGAGCACAAGTGGGAGAGCCAAGTAGTAGGATAAGTAGCAGTATAAGTGCTATGAGGGTGTTATGCTGCTCGGTGACAGAGAAAAAGGTCACCAGCATGCTCTCAGAACTAACCCTTAAAGAATATTGTCAGCGCTTTCTTTGTCAGCCTAAAAATATTCCAGAATCTCTAACACATTCAGGAGTAAATTTTAATTTCTTATAAAACAGTTCATCCATGTGCTACTAGAACTACTGCTTAATGTTTTGGGATGGAAACACTATTATGTTGTTCTCAATGATAGTTGTCAAATGCTCATGTAAAGTGTTTCAGCCAGTCTGAAATTATATTATTACCACATAAAGTTTTTGGCAGTAGGAAAAATAAGTAACTTTTGTTTGAATTTAATTATAGAAACTGGATGAGCAAAAGAAATGGTTAGATGAAGAAGTAGAGAAAGTTCTGAACCAACGTCAGGAACTGGAGGAGCTTGAGGAAGACTTAAGAAAGCGGGAGGCTGTCCTCTCTAAGAAGGAGGCCCTGTTACAGGAGAAGAGCCACCTGGAAAATAAGAAGCTGCGGTCTAGTCAGGTATTCTATTTAATTTGTGTTTGATTTTGATTAAAACTTATCCTTTAGGATTTTCTTTCTCTAAGAAATCATGCCATTATGAAATTAGAAGCCAAAAGAAAATTCTTCTGGTGTTCAGTGTCCTTTGTTTATTACTGCTTATCAAGTCACCATTGCTAAAATGTATTGCAATTTTGAAGTAAAATACTCTGCCAACTATGACTTATTTATAAACTTTTTAAAGGATATTTTTAATTGTAGTGAGATATGCATAACAGAAAATTTACCATTTTGACCATCCAATTGTTAAGTGTACAGTTCAGTGGCATTAATTACATTCACAGTGTTAAACAACCATCCCTACTGTTTCCAAAATGTCTTTATTACCCCAAAGGGAAACTTTGTAACCATTAAGATATAACTCCTTACTCCCCCTGGCAACTTTAGTGGATATTTGAAAAATAAATTTTAACATTTGATTCTGTATAATGAGTGAACGTTGGAAAAACAGACTTGAAAACTATCTAAATTAGGGATTGGCAGGGTCCCATAAAAGAAAGATTTTATGGGGGCCTCCCTGGTGGCACAAGGGGTTAAGACGCAACCTATGAGGCTAGTCACAGCCACTGCTGCATGAGTTCAGTCCCCAGCCAGGGAGCTACCCACGTGGCACAGCAGACCTCCCTAACTTGCCCACTGCTCCCCTCAGCAGTGTATTTCAGTCAATCTGCCTGTTCTGTTCCCCACTCTGTCTCTGGGGAATCCTCTCACCCCTCCCCCCACACCTCTGGCCTGTACCCCAGTTCTTGTATGCATAAATAAATAAATCTTTTAAAAAAAAAGAAATATTTTATGTAATGGAGATACATTTATATTTCAAATTATAAAGACTTGGTACATTACCAAAAAAATTGCCAGAAGACTTGGTAAAACTATTCAAGGAAATTGTTTTACCATGGCATTTAACTCAATTTAAAATTTTGAGAAAGGAATGATTGTGAAAGAAGTAGAAGAATCAGGAAATACTTTTTAAAAAATATATACATATTTTCAACAAAAATTTTCTACTCAGACCTTTGTCTCCAACAGGCCTTGGGTCTAAGGTCGTGGAACAGAGAAGACCAGTGACCTACCTTTTAGCCAACTTCTATACCGGTGGGATTTGATTATTGGTTGATGTTCTTAACCACTCCTCCTCTAACAAGTAAACAGGCATGGGGACCCATACTTACTTCTTCTTTGTCCTCAGTTCCCCAGTCACATTGTAATAGCTTTTAGCACTAGGCTGATGAACAGAAGCATAGGGACAGTTCCTCCAACCAATTTAGTTGCTTCTGTTATATCCAAGAATGTTGCTATCAGGGTCATGTTTTAAAAGATGCTTCTCAATACATGCAAACAATAGCAAATGAAATTAAAATATCAAGTGAGTAAATAGAAAACAGTAACCCAAGATCTACATAATATGTTCTGTATCACAAAAGGAGACAAAAGAGAGGGAGAAGTAAAAGGAATGAAGAGGAATTTTTTTCTTGAAATAAGTTTACTTCATAATACCAAAAACAGACAAACAAAAAACACTTTTTTAGTTTGAAAAGATATAATATTTAGGAAGCATGAACATGCTAAGTAGGGAGTACAAATAAATGAAACCTATAATAGATCAAAGCAAAATTGATCTGTCTGAAAGTTGTCTTAATAAAACAGAAAAGCAATTTGAGACTATTATACTGCTGGATTCTATTCTCAATAAAAAGCATTAAAGACTACTTTTTTTTAGCGTTAAAGAAATATGTGGATGACTCAATCATGTGTACTTCGTATGATATAAAAAACTATTCAAACCATATGCAAACTTAACTCAAAATGAATCAAAGACCTAAATGTAAGCACTAAAATTATAGAACTTTTAGAAAAAGAAATAGGAATAATCTTCATGATTTGGTTTAAGTAATGGTTTCTTGGATATTGCTCCTAAGACAAAAACAATAAAAGAAATATCAGAATAAGTTGAGCTTCAAAAAGTAAAAACACTTGTTATGCAAAGGACACTCCCAAGAAAATGAAAAGGCAGCCCACAGATTGGGGGGGAAATAAAGAACTCTTACAACCTAAGAGTTCTTGGGTAAAATATTGTAAGAATTGAGTAAGACAACCCAATTAAAGAATGGACAAATGATCTAACATATTTTTCCAAATATATACTAATAGTCAGTAAGTATTTTGCTCAACATCATTAGCTACTAGGGAAATGCAAATCAAAACCTAAGTGAGATACTGTATCACAGCAACTAGGATGGCTATAATCAGAAAAATAGCAAGTGTTGGTGAGGATATGAAGGAACTGAAACTTTCATGTACAGCTGGTAGGTAAAATGGTGTAGTTGTTTTGGAGGTCATCAAAAATTTCAGCATTGGATTACTATTTGACCCAGCAATTCCATGTCTAGGTATATGTGAAAAACGTATGTCCACACAAAACTTGTACATGAGTGTTCATAACATTATTCATAATAGCCAAAAAAAGAAAACACAAATGTATATCAACTGGTGGATAAACACAATTGGTATATCCATACAATGGAATATTATTCCAAAACAGAAAGGAATAAAGTATTGATATCTACTACCACATGAATGAAGGCTGAAAACATGTTAAATCAAAGCAGCCAATTATGTAAGACCATACATTACATGATTCGATTCTATGATTCAATGTCCAGGATGGGCAACCCCATAGAGATGGAAAATAGAATAGTGACTACTTAGGGAAGGATGGAATTTGGGGGAAGAAATGGTAGTGGATAAGGGGTTTCATTTTCTGGGGTTATGAAAATGTTCTAAAATTGATTGTGCTGATAGTTGCACAACTCTGAATACACTGGAACCCACCAAATTATTCATTTTAAATAGGCAAATAGTTTTGCATGTGAATTATATCTCAATAAAGCTATTACTGAAAAACTAGAAAGGGGATGAAACAGCAGCAGAGGCTACAGAAGACAAAAGGTTACCAAAAAAATGTTTGCACACTGGAAAGCAAATAGATGAGTGGTTACTGACTTAGTAGGAGAGCAAACGCTCTTATCCAAGTGCCTAGAGAGAGAGATACCAATGAAAGCCAAGAATTTAACTTTTTAAAAAAATAACAGCTTTCTGGGGCCTCCCTGGTGGCGCAAGGGGTTACGATGCAACCTGTGAAGCTATCTGCAGCCACTGCAGCACAAGTTCGATCCCACATGGCGCAGCAGATCTCTCCTGACCCGCCCGCTGTTCCCCTCAGCAGTGTATTTCAGTCAATCTGCCTGTTCTATTTCCCACTCTGTCTCTGGTGAATCCTCTCACCTCCCCACTCCTCTGGCCTGTACCCCACTTCTTGTGTGCATAAATAAATAAATCTTTAAAAAAAGAAAAAAATAACAGCTTTTTGAGATATAATTCACATAGAACATGAAAAGGACTCAGAAATGAAGGGCCCAAGATCTTCATAAGATAGGAGTGAGTCATAAGGATGACAATGGGGCATAAATAGGAAACCATCCTTTTCTGACTTGGAACTAGATGGTTTATTTTCTGAAGATTGAACCAGAAAGCAGAGGGTCAGAGAACTCAAAACAGGTAATAAATGATACTCTCTACATATGAGCCCTAACACAACCATTTCCTATTTGGATCCCAGATGCTGGCAGTCAGATTTATACTTCCCAGCAGGAGGCAGGCAGGTTTGCTGGAAAAATTCCTGAAGAGAAAAAATAGTAGAAACATTACATTTTGGTAATCCCAACTGAATGGCCAGATCCCAAATATATCCTATAGTGACAAATCATACCCACCACACAGCTTCCCCCCCTTTTTTCCCCCAGCTTAATTGAGAAATAGTTGACATCCACTATTGTGTAAAAGTTTAAGGTATACAGCATGATAGTTTGATTTAGATATATTGGGAAATAATTATCTTTTTTTAATATGTGATTTTTAAGTCATAAGTGTGATGAATGTATCACAATACTACTGACATGAAAGGAAACAGAACAAAAGGGAAAGAGGAACTTTGAGAAATATAAGATACAGCAAGGAACTGGATATAAAATGCTCAAAATAACCTTAATGGTAAAAGATAGGACAATATAGTTCTATCTGTAGAACAAAAGCTGTAGGCTATTAAAAACATGAAAGAACTCTTAAAATGAAATAGGTGGGAGAATCATCCTATTGAGGAAATATCCTTGAAAGTGAAAGCTAAATAGAAAACAGGATAAAAAAATTTAATTGGCAGTTAAATCCTTAAAATTCAAGTAATGGGAGTTTCAGAAAGCTGCAATAGAGAAAAATGGAAGGAAGGAGATCATCAAAGACATTATACAAAAAATTTTCCCAACACTGGAGACAATGAGAATCTGGATTAAAATAGCTCATTGAGGGACCAGCAACATGAGTGCTCACACTATGTTACTGCAGAAAAAGAAATATCCTGAAAAGCTTCCAGATAGAAAGAATAGTCCCTTGTAAATATCAAGAATGAGAATGGCATTGGACTTTTCAGCCTTCTTTATTAGAAGCTTAAAGACCTGAAACAGGAAAAAAAAAAAAAAAAGAACTGAAACAGTTTTCATAACCTTAAGGAAAATTATTTCCCAACAAGAATTCTCTTTTCACCCAAACTCTCAACCAGATGTGAAGAGAGACTAGGCATTTTCAGGTAAAAGAATTGAATCTCCCAACTAGCTTATCTGAGAAAAATACTAGAGGATATGTTTCACAAAAATGAGGGCATATAGTATGAAAGTATCAGATGGAACCATGATCATCTTATACTAGATAGTGTAGCTATGAATAATAGTGTCAGTTTATAGTCATGTAAACTAAATATCAATTTAATGAAAAACTGTAATATATATTGAGAAAGTAGAAAAAGAGGAGACAGAAGATGGCTTATCTTCCAATAATAGTCAGTAGACAATATCAGAAATTGATAGTTATTTTGAAATGTAGACTTAAGTACTCGAGAAATAGCTAGCAGGGTTGAAGATGGTTGTTACTGGGAAGCAGGACTCAGGTGAAAGAGTGGGGGTAGGGGCTGCTTTTTTTAAAATTATAAACCTTATGGCAGTATATACAGATAATTGATGAAAAAAATTTTTTTAATTATCTTAAATCATAATGAAAATCTCCATAAAACTAACTGGCCTTATTTTCTGATAGAATAAGATTAGAAACATATATCCACTTACTAATTTTCTCTGTTTTTCTTAGTTCACATGCAGATGGGTTTCTGATTGTTTTGGGTTATCTGGTTGGTTGTATCTTTGTAGGTCTTAAACACAGATAGTTTGAAAATATCAACTCGCCTGAGCTTGCTGGACAAAGAATTATCTGAAAAGAATGTACAGCTTCAAAACAGCACAGCTGAGGAGAAAATAAAGATTTCAGCACAAGTTCAAGCTCTCCAGAAAGAAAAGGACCAGCTACAGAGACAAAGAAACTGTGTGGATGAGAAACTTAAAAATGGTAGCATGTTATCACCTGAAGTAAGTCAGTATTCTTTGGAACTGGAAGTGCTGTATGATGAATCACTTGGATGATACCTCCACCTTTTTCACCTAAACATAAAAATGATAAATCTGGTAAACTTTGTTTCCTTGAGAGTTCATCAGAACGTAATGAGTTTATCTGGCGCCTTTTAGGCGTCATAAGCCATGCTTGACTAGATCCTGTCATGGTCTCACTTGAGGTCCGTGAGACTGGGAGACTTAACACTTGCCTTAAGTATGACCTTTCTCATCTCGGGTTTCTCATCTGAAATCACAGAAACTAAAAATGATTTGAGAGTCTCTCTTCAGTTCTTCCCACAGGCTACCTTTCCTCAATACATTTTTCTTGAATGATACTAGGTATTTAATTATATACAGTGGATGTCTAGGGCGATAGGGTTCACAATTTCATGGAATCTCGAAAGAAAGCCAAAGGGATGCATAAAATTAAAATCCCAATAAAAATACCTCTAAGAGTTTTCATTTAGGGGAGTATATGGTTCCTCTCACATCTATTTATTTTTTAACTGTGTAAGAGAGGTTTCATTTACTAGCCATCAAATTGTCCTAGATAATGTCTTTTTTCAAAATTTTACTTCAGTTGGCAATGACACCTATACCTTACTTTATAAAAGATGAATTTCTGACCCTGACATTTACCTGCAAGTATTCATTCTTGATGTCCTGTCATTACCAAAGCATGGAAAAATTGCTAAGAGGAAATGAGTTGCTGGAAGTCATGCACTTAGTTTAATTTGTGGTGTTTTAGATTGGAGCAAGTATGAGAGGAGGATAAAGGGATTGGGCTAAGAAGGAACAAGAAGAATAATTTCATGAAATTAGTCTATTGCTCATTGAGTTGATGAAAAGAATTGAAGATTAACTTGATTGGGGCTGTATGACACTGTAAGCTTCTATTGCCTTGTTTTATAATGTGGTAACTGTGCAAAGGATCACAGAACCAGGCTGTTAAATTGAATTCTAAGCTTATAGGTTTGAAGGTATAAGAGCCTAAAATACAGCATAACATGTATGTATTTAAGGGGTTTTTGCCTGCCCAGGACTGTTTCTGTGAAAGAAACAAAAAAGTAGAAAGCATTGTTCACTTACAAAACTCATAGTTTATCTGGGGGTAAAAGAGAAATATAAAAAACCATTATATTCTGAAGAACACAAAACATTAATTTTACAAATATTTCAGATAATGAATAAAACTATACTTATTACATTATTTTATGCAAAGCAATGCAGTGATTATTTGGAAGAATCCTTTATGGATTGGAATCCTTAAGATGGATTATGAAAAACATAATATATTGATCAGTGTAAGAAGGCTATTTTAGATAGAACACTTAAAGAATAAAGATGGAAATGGTCATACTATGTTTTCAGAAGGGCAGAGGGTCCATTATCATCAAGAAACATTTAAGTTTCTATTTCACATAGCATTCTGTTTCACATAGCATTACTTAGGGTTTAGTAGTGAAAATATAGCACCCTGCATGATACCTATTTAGCATCCACTATGGATTGGTTTGAGGGAACGACGAGCCTTCTACAATTGGTGGAGATCCATTTAGTTGTGAGCTTCTCTGCAGCCTTCTTCTGTATTATGGTGAGTCTTTTTTTTAAATTATAACATCATTTAAGTTTCAGGTGTGCAGCACTAAAAGTCAACACATGTATGTATGCCACATTACCTTCAACACTAAAAGTCTAATTCTATCCTTCACCATACAGTGGTTCTTCTTAGTGTAGCTCCAAAGTGGGTTCTTCTCTCACCTGTTTTCAAGCCAAGATTAATATTACTTGTCAATAGCAAATCATGAGGAACACCAGATCCTGATGTGATTACAAGACACAGATAAAATCTAGGTGGAATGGGTTGCAATTTTGAAGACTTTAAACTTGGTAGGAATTATTTTCTCTTTTCCATCAAAAATTAAATATTTTTGCTAATTGTATTATTTCATGGGAAATGAAAGATTTTGGATCACTATACTAGTACAGAATTACCCAGCAGTTTATTTTTTTTATTTTATGGGGGTTTTTTTTAGCCAGCAATTTATTTTTTTTTGAATAATAAGCATCCCTTATTTGCTGACGCCATTACAAAAACTGATTACATTAGCAACAAAAAAGTGTTCTCTTGAGTTGTAGTCAGAGCAGTTACTCCTCAAAATGTTAAGTAAAACAGTGTACAACATCAGTAATAAAATGTTAGATTTTACATTGTTTTTACCACCTTTGATCTTCTGAACAATTTCACTGAGCGAAATAAAAGATTACATGTTTATTTTATCTTCAGGAATGTAAAGGTCTAATTATTCAAACAGTTTTATTATAAAGCTAAACTCTGAAGGTGTCTACAGAGTTGTTAGCCAGCAATTTAATACTATGCAAGTCACCTCCCTCTTTTGCATAAAATAAAGAAACTAAACAAAAATATAACTTTAAATCTATTTTACTAATAATGATGAACAGTTGCCCAGCAAGTGAAATATGGAAAGTAAATATAAGTATTATAATATCTGTGTTTGTCTTTTTTTTAATTTTTATTTTCATGTTTTAAGATTAGCAATGTAGGCAGCTTATTGAAAAATATACATGTATGTGGTGCTTGCTCAAAAGTCTTTGTTAGTTTAGTTTTTGTACTAATTGGGATGTATATTCTAAAATGTTTGGAGAGTATTGCCTTAGCTACCATCAGCATCACCTGGGAGCTTGTTAGAACTATAGAGCTTCCAGCCCTCCCAGACCAGCTGAATTAGAAACATGCCCCAAGGAGCACACTAAAGTTTGAAAAGCAGGGCTCTATGATAAAGCACAGTCAAACTTTTGGGAGGGTTTGAGTTGCGGAAAATTTTCCTTCTGAGACAACTTCCCACGCCTCTTATCTTGTCAACCTACATCTACCGCTGTTAGAGGGGACCATAAACATTTTATGCACGGAAGCCCCACTAGAGCTGGCTAACCTCAGGGTTCTGGGGTCATATTACCTTTTATTATCTTAGTGAAACTAAATTTGTACCAAATTGTTCCTAGTCAACATACCAAAGTATCAACTGTTGCCAGCGCTCATTTAGAGCTTCTTTCCAAAACCTCTCACATAGCAAAGCAAGTATCTTGGAAAAACTCATATGCCTGAGTCTTGTTTAGAATGTATAAAGGCTGTTTCCATATTTGTTCTTAGAAAAGTATGATCACAGTGAGCATTCAGAAGTCAAATATGTACTTTGCATAACTATTTTCTGTTTTCTCTTTTTCATTTACCTAAGTACCATTTTCAGGATTTAAATTTGTTTTCCTTTAAAAGGTAAACATTTTCTTCCTTTTGGAGTGATTATCAAAGCAATTGTTCAGCCTCCCACTAGAACAAGTTATTACATACCTATTCCCTGAATTTCAGAAAAGAATTTCTGGAAGTCACCCTAACTATTCTTCAGGTAGATCATAAATATTGATAATTATCTTCCTTTGAAATTCTGGGGGAAAGAGTGGAGAGAAACACTTGGGTCATGTAACTAAGACATTTGAAAATATTTTTTTCCCTTCTTCATTAACTCATTCAGCAGACACTCAGTTTAAACTGTGCTAGGCAGTAGAATACTGTGCTAGGCATACTGTGCTAGGCAGTAGAATATGAATATAGCAAGACACTGCCCTCAAGGATTTTAAAGTTGAGATAACCACCACTACATGTGCAGGTATACAGGAATATATGTCCCAGTCTCAGTAAGTCTGAAATAATTTCTTACCAGAGCTTCAGATTCCCCCTACATCTACAAATGACATGTCACTCAGTTCAAAGAACTGCTAGGTTTTCAAACATGGATTTCATCAGATTTTTTTTTCTACAAAGGAAATCTGGCATATGAAAAAAATGTTATGCTGTCACCATTGTTAATGTCTATAATTTCCCTCTAATGACATTTAATAGGAACCTTATGAAATGTGTCATGTTCTTTTTTTTTTTTTTAATAGAGGCATGTTTTATTTATTTATTTGTTTGTTTTGTTTATACATGCACTGGGTACAGTCAGAAGCGTGGGAGGGTGAGAGAATTCACCAGAGCCAGAGCGGGGTGCAGAGCAGGCAGAAGGACCGAAGTACACTGCTGAGGGAAGCAGCGGGCAGCAGGAGAGGTCTGCGCGCCATGTGGGACCCTCCTCCGGTGGCCGGGGAGCAGCCGGGGATCGAACCGGCGCCGCAGAGGCCGCGGGCAGCTTCGCAACCCAGCGCTCAACCGCTGCGCCACCGGGGAGGCCCTGAAATGTGTCATGTTCTTAAATCCTTACTATGTTTTTTTTTTTCTTTTGTTTTTTAAATTTTATTTTTATATTCCCCATATAATTGCAACCCCCTTATTTTGACCCCAATCCCTCCTTCCCCCCCCCATAGTGTGTCTCTAGTTCATAGTTGTTTGTTGATTTTGATTTTTTCTTTCTTATAGCTATTTTTCCTGGTCCCTTATTTAGGTTTTCTAGATTCCTGCTATGAGTGAGACCATCCGGTATTTTTCTTTTTCTTTCTGGCTTATTTTGCTGAGCATGATCCCTTACAGCTCCATCCATGTTGCTGAAAATTGCATGTGTTATCTTTTTTGAATGCTGAGTAATATTCCATGGTATATATGTACCACATCTTCTTGATCCAGTCATCTATTTTTGGGCATTTGGGTTGTTTCCAAAGCTTAGCTATTGTCCTTTGGGTAAATACCTAGGAGTGGAATTGCTGGATCATATGGAAGCTCTATGTTTAGTAGGTCAAGAAATCTCCACACAGCTTTGCATAGTGGTTGGACCAGTTTGCACTCCCACCAGTAATGCAGGAGTGTTCCTTTTTCCCCACATCCTTGCCAACATTTGTGTTGCTAGTTTTTTAATATGTGGCATTCTCACTGGTGTGAGATGGTATCTCATTGTAGTTTTGATTTGCATTTCCCTGATTACAAGTGATGTTGAACATTTTTTCATATGCCTGTTGGCCATTTGTATTTCCTCTTTGGAGAAGTTTCTTTTTAGCTCTTCTGCCCATTTTTTGACTGGATTATTTTCTTTGTTTTTGTTGAGTCTCGTCAGCTCTGTAGATTTTTGTGATCAGTCCTTTATCATTAGTGTTGCGTGCAAAAATTTTCTCCCAGTCACTGGGTCGCTACATGCAAAAGAATGAAACTTGACTACTACCTCACCCCATGCACAAAAACCAACTCAAAATGGATTAAAGAAACCATAAAATATATAGAAGGAAATACAGGTGAAACACTACATGACATGCACCTCAAAGACATCTTTACAGACACATCGCCCAAAGCAGTGATAGTGAAGGCAAAGATAAACAGCTGGGACTACATTAAATTAAAGAGCTTCTGCACAGCAAAAGAGACAATAACCAAAACAAAGAGAAATCCTTACTATGTTTTTATGCCATACTTTGCTTTTTCCATAGACTCTCCTTGAGTTACCAGTTCTTAATAACTTACCCAAAATCTATTTCTTCCTTCCCTCCTAGCAATATATTGCTTTTGATAGACCCTTGAAGGGACACTAGGGGATGTTCAGACCTGAAGATATGCTTCACTGCATATCTGTAGCAACAATGGACACTACTGCCAATCCTGCGGGCTGAGACTTTATCCAAGCATATTCATTAATAGTCAGCATTTGCCGTATGACCTTGGGACATTTCACATGCAACTGAGCTGCTGCTCTTCCTTTTTACTTATTACATAAGGTTTATTGCAAGGATTCAATAGCTATATATGCTTTTTTAATGTGTGTGTGTGTATGTATATGTGCTTTGTGTAGTAGCGAGGCAAGCATTCAAATGTTTTCTTAAAATTTAGAGGAATAATGTCCATCAGATTGAAATAGCATATTGAGATCTTAATATGTGATAAAGTTCAAGTTATACTATTTCATTTAAAATGCTTGATTTCAATTATATTATTTCTAGGAAGAACATGTTCTTTTCCAACTTGAAGAAGGAATTGAAGCTTTGGAAGCTGCAATTGAATACAAAAATGAAAGTATCAACAGTCGCCAGCGCTCACTTAGAGTTTCATTACAAAACCTCTCTCATAGTGAAGCAAATATCTTGGAAAAACTCACTTGCCTGAGTCCTGTTGAGATTAGAGCTATTCTTTTTAGATATTTCAATAAGGTTTGTTTTTGAGAAATAAGATTATATTTTCTTATAAAGAAGGGATTAAATTGCTTACATGCGCATTTATTTGGAATTCTTTTTAAGATTTATTTATTTATGCATACAAGAACTGGGGTACAGGTCAGAGGTGTGAGAGGTGAGAGGATTCACCAGAGACAGTGGGGAGCAGAACAGGCGGATCTACTGAGATACACTGCTGAGGGGAGCAGCGGGCAAGACAGGAGAGGTCCACTGTGCCATGTGGGTCACCTCCCTGGCCAGGCGTCGAACTCGTGCTGCAGTGGCTACAGATAGCTTCGTAGTACTGATGCTTAACCCCTTGTGCCACCAGGGAGGCCCCTATTTGGAATTTTTTAAGAAATGAAAAGACCTAAGGCCTAAAGATTTGATGGTAATAACTACAGAATTAAGCAGGAATCTTTTTACAGTACTGAATGTCATCTGATGCTTAGTGATTATCCAAACACATAGGCCTAACTTTGTGGGGTTCTGGAAGTCGAAGGGCCTTTTAAAAGAAGGGCCTTTCAAAAAGAGCTCTTTGAAATAGTTTTAAAAGCTTAAGAATTTAAGTTATATTCCTCTGTCAGTATTTCTTGGTTTTCTAGATTTGGATGTTGTTACTCAGCATTTATAAAATAATCCAGGTCTCTCTAAGATTGGATTTCCTCTCCTTCACTGCCCTAGGCTAGGGGAACCTGTACTTTCTTATTATAACCTTCAAATTAAAATTGAGATGCAGTGATTCACCAGTGTCAAAGATAGTTCTAGATTTTAGCATTAACTCAAATATGCTGAATAGCAATTAAAATATTTCATTTTATACAGATATCACAATTTACTAATTCAGAGACGTTTCAACTTCCCTCTCTTTTTTTCTTTTATTTTTAAAATATTGATTTTTTTTTGAAAGATTTATTTATTTTTTCAAGAACTGGGGTATAGGTCAGAGGCGCAGGAGGGTGAGAGAATTCACCAGAGACAGACCAGGGAGCAGAACAGGCAGACGGACCTAAGACACTGCTGAGGGGAGCAGCGGGCAAGACAGGAGAGGTCTGCTGCATCATGTGGGTTTCTCTCTGGCCAGCAGGCTGGGAATTGAACCTGCACTGCAGAGAATCGAATCCATGCTGCAGAGGCTGCGGACATCTTCACAGCGGCGCTCAACCCGCTGTGCCACCAGGGAGACCCCCTAATATCTTTTCTAATGTCTTAAGATCTAGATTGTGAAGTTTAAAGCAAGTAGATAACTTTCTTCTCTGTGAAATATATTTAAGAGGATATCTGACAGTGAAAAATAAAACTGAAATTTTAAAATAAATTTCTAATTCTATTAGACAAGTGAAATAAAGATTGAAAATGTTATACACATTATCCTCTTGAGTAATTACTATCATTAGTAAACTACTGTTATTGATGAGTACATTCTATCACTGGATATGTGGAAGGCAGAAAATTGTAGAGAACTGTCTGAGGCTTTGATATAGAGAACTCTTTTGTGGTCCTCTTAGAACAAGGGCCTCAACCCAAGCACCCAGGCCAAGCTCAGTGGATTTTCTGATCCTTAGATCCTGTTATTGAATTGAGTTTTTCTGGAGACAAGGTAATTACATCATTAAATTCTGTAATACAGACATTGTCTGAATTATTTTTATTTCATATTAGTGCAGAGAAGAATCCATGGACTGAATGTATGATTTGAAACTGAACTCTATAGTTTAAAAAAAATGTCACTTTATAACATCGATTTTGGAGATAAACTGGGAATTATCAATATTTTACAAGTCTTCAGCTTCTTTATATCTTTTTTAGACCAGAGAAATAAAGAATTATAAGTGTAAGCAACTGAGATCATGTCTAAGAAATGATGAAGAGGTAATTATCATAGCAATATTATATTTTAAATGAAATTACTAGCAATTCAGAATCTCAACAAATTCCAAAGGCTGTTTAGATTTGTGGGTATTTGCCTAGTTATATACCATGAGGATTCAGGAAGTTCATCTTATGTAACCTAAGGGAAGTAGATTATTAGGGTAAGACACACTTAAAGGTCAAAAAATATATTTTTTAGGGCCTCCCCGGTGGCTCAGGTTGAGCGCTGGGTTGCGAAGCTGCCCGCAGCCTCTGCAGCGCCGGTTCGATTCCCCGCTGCTCCCCGGCCACCGGAGGAGGGTCCCACATGGCGTGCAGACCTCTTCTGCCGCCCGCTGCTCCCCTCAGCAGTGTACTTCGGTCCTTCTGCCTGCTCTGCTCCCCGCTCTGGCTCTGGTGAATTCTCTCACCCTCCCGCGCTTATGACTGTACCCAGTGCTTGTATAAATAAATAAATCTTTTTTAAAAAAATGTATTTTTTTAGGTAGTTAATTTGCGAGAAGCTGAACGGAAACTTCAACTACAGAATGAAGAAATTAAAATGAAGGTTCTGGAACAGAATAATATGGTTCGTGAGCTGGAATCTGCACTGGAACATCTGAAATCGCAATGTGACCGGAGACTAACCCTCCAGCAAAAGGAACATGAGCAAAAAATGCAGCTATTGTTACATCATTTCAAAGGTATCTGCTCCTTCTTGTCAGTTGTGTAAAGGTGATGTGCAGGAGGAAGATTGAAGAAGGAATCTAGGACAAAATTTGATCACTTAAAAGCCCACATGAATAAAGTGTTATTGACACGGGTTTGGTGATTTACATGTTTTGGTTACATGTTGGGATAGGTGAGTTTGAGGTATGGCTATTCATATTTGAAATGCCATCCCTTCTCTCTGTCCCCAGCACACATATAAGAAATGCTGCAATTCTGTTTGTTGTTGGTCAAACTTGTATGTAGAAATGTGGGATGACTTGTGGTTTGTGTTATACAGCTGAAAACTTCTGTCACCCAAGCCTATGATACTGTGATATTTAAATTACTTTCCCTTTACAAAATTAAAGTACGAGGCTATCAGATTTCTAGTTATAGTTTTCAGTTGATTATAAATTTTATTCATTAAAGTTACATGTTAGGGCAAAATTACTCTACCATTGGTGGGCATAGACTGTTAACAGTTTCCAGTAGAACTCTGGTGTGGAAAGAGCTGTTAAAATAGTGATCTGGGATTATGGCTTAACATAACCAGCTGTTATGGCAACACAATCCCTGCCAGGCTATATAGGTATTACTTTAGTCCATGCTGCTTAGTCTTGATTCTTAGGATTGTATAGCTGAAATTGAGTTAAAAGGGATCTGGAAGAAGCAACCTGAGTAAGCAGAAAATTAGTAATGAATTTGAGTGTTCATTTGAGTGTTGAAGCAATTTGCCTCTAAATTAATTCAATAATTAACTAATTAGCAACCATTTGCATGATGATAGGATTTCCTTGACAAGCCTCCATATCATTTCATTCAAATATGATCTATTACCTTACCTCATGTCTGTCATTAAGTCTGTAAATTGATGTTTTAATAGAATTTGTAATGTATTTTTGAAAGTGACTGGTGTTGTATCACAATAGCTCAATAACCCAAATGAGAATTTTTTAAAAAAATTATTCATTTCTGTAGCTATATGTGTTTTTCATAGAGTTGTAACTGAAAATGTTAATGATGAATTTTCTAATTTCAGTTAAATATGGGACATAAAATTAAGTTGATTTATATAATATACTTTTTGGGGATTCTCATTTATGATTCATTAATTTTAACTATTTTTATAAACAAGATGATAGATTTAAAACATGCAAATATACTTAGATAAAATTTTACAGAACAGCCAGTTATAACAAGAAAATCACAAACCCGTTGGACCATTTTATAAATTTACCAAATAGGAAAGAGTAGGTTTTAAAGTGTATGATATTTTCAGGAGGTCAATAAACTGGGGGCCTCCTGATGGCCTAGGGGTTAAGTTTCAGCACTATCACCAGGATAGCCTGAGTTTGATCCCTAGCCAGGGAGCTGACCCACATATGGCAGAACAGACTTCTCTTGTCACGTCCACTGCTCCCCTTAGCAGTGTATTTCAGTAGATCCCCTGTTCTGCTCCCCTCTCTGTTTCTGGTGAATCCTCTTACCCCCCACACCTCTGGCCTAAACCCCAGTTCTTCTACACAAAACAAAAATCTTTTTTAAAAAGGGTGGAGGCTAAGTTTTCTTTTTTTAAAGATTTATTTATTTATTTATTTATTTATACAAGAACCAGGGTACAGGCCAGAGGCACAGGAGGGCGAGAGGATTCACCAGAGACAAAGCGGGGAACTGAACAGGCAGACTGACGAAATACACTGCTGAGGGAAGCAGCGGGCGAGACAGAAGAGGTCTGCCCTCGCTGGCTGGCCGGGATCAAGCCTGTGCTGCAGAGGCTGCAGAGAGCTTCACAGTGCTGTGCTCAACCGCCTGCGCCACCAGCGAGGCCCAAAGTCTTAGCGCTATCAACCAGAAAGTCAACAAACTGGATTTGTTGTTGTTTCAAGGACATATCTAAATGGGAATAGTGTTAGATATTCAAAAATATTAATTAGTTATTTTGTAGCATAAACTAGAACTTTACTTACACTATTTTCCTCTTACCCTTTTTTCCCCTCGGTAATTTAATCTTTCCAGCTTCTTTTGACAGGTTTTTGTTTTGGGGCTTTTTTTTTTTTTTTTTGGGCTGTGTCCTTCTTGGACCTGTACTTTTCCATATATCCAGTTTCTGATATAAGCTTTAAGAAGATACTAATGCAGCTGGTGAATAGAGTTACAAACATGAACTTTTTAGAGAAAACATCTTCTAAGTATAAAGCTAGTCAGTAGCTAGATGGGATAGAGAAGGTGACTAAGGGCTCCATCGTACAATGAAAAATTGTACAGGAAGAAGAAACCAAATTCTAGCTGAAAACAAATCTAATCAAAATGTGTTTAATTAACCTTCGATCTTTAAAGTATATTTGGGGACTGGTAGAACATAATTTTCATTTATTTATTTAAGACTGCATTTAAATGTAAATTTCTGTTTTGTAGAGCAAGATGGGGAAGGCATTATGGAAACTTTAAAAACATATGAAGATAAAATCCAGCAATTGGAAAAAGATCTTTATTTCTATAAGAAAACCAGCAGAGATCTGAAGAAGAAACTTAAGGAACTAGTAGGGGAAGCAATTCGGAGGCAAATAGTACCATCTGAATGTAAGACTTTTGGTGTTATTTGTCAGGCTAACGGCTTCTCTATCATTCGCCTGGTTTGTAGTATAGTCTTTCACCCTTTGAGTTCTTTAGGATTAGATTTTTTAACTCAAATTTTGTTGATTTACCATTCATTTACATAACTATAATTTTGGGATTATACCTCATATCTCAACATGTGCGCATGCTTCACTCACCTTCCACCAAAGCTCCATTGTTACTACCTGGCACATACCTCTCTTCTGTCCTCCCTCCTGCCTTCCCTCTAATAACCACCATATTTTTCAGAGTCTAAAGTTATTTTTGTTGTCTTATTTAACTTGTGTTTATATATTTTTTTGATTTTTTTTTTAAATAATAAATTTTATTTTTATATTCCCCCATACAACTGCACATGCCCCATTCTGACCCCAATCCCTCCCCTCCCAGCCCCCACCCCCAAAAAGTATCTCTGGTTCATAGTTTTTTGTTGATTTTGATTTTCACTTTCTTATAGTTATTCATTTTCCTGATCCCTTATTTAAGTTTTCTAGATTCCTACTATGAGTGAGACCATCCGGTATTTTTCTTTTTCTTTTTGGCTTATTTCGCTGAGCATGATCCCTTCCAGCGCCATCCATGTTGCTGCAAATTGCATGTGTTTATCTTTTTTGAATGCTGAGTAATATTCCATGGTATATATGTACCACATCTTCTTGATCCAGTCATCTATTTTTGGGCATTTGGGCTGTTTCCAAAGCTTAGCTATTGTAAATAGTGCTGCTATAAACATAGGGGTGCAGGTGTTCTTTGGAATTGATGTTTCTGTGTCCTTTGGGTAAATACCTAGGAGTGGAATTGCTGGATCATATGGAAGCTCTATGTTTAGTAGGTCCAGAAATCTCCACACAGCTCTCCATAGTGGTTGGACCAGTTTGCATTCCCACCAACAGTGCAGGAGAGTTCCTTTTTCTCCACAACCTTGCCAACATTTGTTGTTGCTAGTTTTTTTAATATGTGCCATTCTCACTGTTGTAAGATGGTATCTCATGGTAGTTTTGATTTGCATTTCCCTGATTACAAGTGATGTTGAACATTTTTTCATATGGGGGCCTCCCCGGTGGCGCAGCGGTTGAGCGCTGGTTGCGAAGCTGCCCGCGGCCTCTGCGGCGCCGGTTCGATCCCCGGCTGCTCCCCGGCCACCGGAGGAGGGTCCCACATGGCGCGCAGACCTCTCCTGCCGCCCGCTGCTCCCTCAGCAGTGTACTTCGGTCCTTCTGCCTGCTCTGCTCCCCGCTCTGGCTCTGGTGAATTCTCTCGCCCTCCGCGCTTCTGACTGTACCCAGTGCATGTATAAAACGAAAACAAACAAACAAACAAATAAATAAATAAATAAAACATGCCTCTATAAAAAAAAAAATTTAAAAAAAAAAAAAAAAAAAAAAAAAGAACATTTTTTCATATGTCTGTTGGCCATTTGCATTTCCTCTTCAGAGAAGTTTCTTTTTAGCTCTTCTGCCCATTTTTTGACTGGGTTATTTTCTTTGTTGTTGTTGAGTCTCATCAGCTCTTTGCAGATTTTTGTGATCAGTCCTTTATCATTAGTGTTGGGTGCAAAAATGTTCTCCCAGTTGGTGGGGTTTCTCTTTGTTTTTGTTATTGTCTCTTTTGCTGTGCAGAAGCTCTTTAATTTGATGCAGTCCCAGCTGTTTATCTTTGCCTTCACTATCACTGCTTTGGGTGATGTGTCTGTAAAGATGTCTTTGATATGCAAATCACGTAGTGTTTCACCTATATTTCCTTCTATGTATTTTATGGTTTCAGGTCTTATGTCTAGTTCTTTAATCCATTTTGAGTTGATTTTTGTGTATGGTGTGAGGTAGAGGTCAAGCTTCATTCTTTTGCATGTAGCAACCCAGTTTTCCCAGCACCATTTATTGAACAAACTTTCTTTGCTCCAATGCATAGTCTTTGCTCCTTTGTCAAAGATTAGTTGACCATAAATCTGTGGGTTTATTTCTGGATTTTCTATTCGATTCCATTGGTCTGTATGTCTGTTCTTGTTCCAATACCATGCAGTTTTGATGATTATGGCTTTGTAGTATAGTTTGAAGTCTGGGAGTGTGATGCCTCCATTTCCTTCTTTTTTTTTCAGTAGAGCTTTGGCTATTCGGGGTTTTTGGTGATTCCATATGAATTTCATCAATAATTGTTCTATTTCTTTGAAGAATGACATTGAAATTTTGATTGGAATAGCATTGAATCAGTATATTGCTTTTGGTAGGATGGCCATTTTAATAATGTTTATTCTTCCAATCCATGAGCAGGGGATGTCTTTCCATTTCTTTGTGTCTTCTTCTATTTCTTTTAACAGTGTTTTATAATTTTCTTTGTATAGGTCCTTTACCTCTTTTGTTAGATTTATTCCCAAATATTTGATTTTTTTTGTTTCGATAATAAAAGGGATGGTTTTTTTATTTCTTCTTCTTCAGATTTATTGTTTGTGTATAGGAAGGCTACTGACTTTTGCGTGTTGATTTTGTATCCTGCCTTAACTTGTGTTTATAAACAAAAAGTTGTCTATGTATAAGACAGAAAGAACCATACAAAAAAGTGAAGGAATAAACAAATGTATATTTGTGCAGGAAACTATTTATTGTCTACCATATGCTACGTGCTTGTATTCCTTCACTAACTTAGTCCTTAAATAACACTATAATCTAAGATAATTGTTATTTTCCTATTTTATAGTAAATTAAGTCTTTTGATTATCATAAAAATATGTAAATTGAGAATAATAAAAGTAAAGGTAAAATAATGTGTTTCTAAGATAAATCAGGTCTTTAGATTTCATAACCTCTGGAAATGAAAAAATATAGTAAAACAATGGTGTATAGACAAGGATAATTTCTTGTATAATTATGTGTAGATATATAGAAGTTGCAAATTCCTAAATGAATGATGAAACAATAAAATACTTTTGCAAAAGCAAAAAATTTTCATGAATATAATATAGCACTATGATTAAAAATATACTTCCTTTCAGTCAGCTAAGTAGAGAGGAATCAATATTTCTAAAATAAAATAGCCTTCCATGAGAGAAAACATTCTAAAGTATCAAAAGCTGACTTTACAATCTTTTAGGAACATACATATTTTGTGCTTAAAGTGTGGTTATAACAAGATGTAAAGAAATCAGTGAAAAATGTACAATGAAAAGAAAAATTCTAAACATATAATCATAATTAACATAGTTTAAAATTTATAAACTCAGTAATATTTTAAAAAAGTATTTCTAATGCTACCTTTTATTTATATTTGTTATTTATAGACCTTTAACTCTCAAACTCAGGATAGGCCTTAGTGTGTGTCTGCTAACCCTATTTTTAGGTGAAGGAAATGAAGGCCAGAGAATTCAGGTAATTTACAAACAGAACAGTAGTTAGAACATGGACTAAGGTTCCTTGTCCTCATTCTGGTCCAGTGTTCTAGGATAAAAATTTCCTAGGGTAAAGATATGATATGAACATAGAAAATCATGTCAAAGACACTAACCTTTCTGATTCTCGTTGTAGTAATGCTAAGGTTCTTACTGATACAACAAAACATTTACTTGAAATACTGTCTGCAGTATATAACCAAGCCTTTTACATGAATCACTACTTGTTAAAAAAATTTAAGAGTAATCAAGTACTAAGGAGAAAATAGAACAATTAGATAAGGCCATTTTAGTCTTTTGAAAAATCCTTCTTTCAATTTTGAGATATCTGGAATAAGATATCTAGTGCTTATATGGCCCATGTTTAAACATATCTATAATGCTGAGTCTATTAGACATCTCTTAAAATGACTGGTATGGTGGTGTAGAGGTTTAGAAACAGAATCCTGGGCTTCCCTGGTGACGCAAGGGGTTAAGATGCAACCTATGAAGCTATCCACAGCCGCTGCAGCACGAGTTCAATCTCCTGCCAGGGAGCAATCCACATAGCATAGCAGACCTCTCCTGACTGGCCCACTGCTCCCATCGGCAGTATATATCAGTCAGTTGGCCTGTTCTGTTCCGCGCTCTGTCTCTGGTGAATCCTCTCACCACCCCACACCTCTGGCCTGTATCCCAGTTCTTGTATGCATAAATAAATAAATCTTAAAAAAAAAAAAAAGGGTCTCCCCTGGTGGCACAGACGGTTGAGCGCAGCGCTGTGAAGCTGTACGCAGCCTCTGTAGAACCGGTTTAATCCTGGCCAGCCAGCCTGCCAGGGTCCCACATGGCACGGGAGACCTCTCCTGTCTAGCCTGCTGCTCCCCTCAGCAGTGTATTTTGTCAGTCTGCCTGTTCTGTACCCCGCTTTGTCTCTGGTGAATCCTCTTACCCTCCCCACGCATCTGGCCTGTACCCCAGTTCTTGTATAAATAAATAAATAAATAAATCTTAAAAAAAAAAAGAAAGAAATAGAATCCTCATCTGGATATTTTGCTCTTTAATAAAATAAACACAAAGAGCCTTTGAAAAGTTAAATAATCTTAGACATGTATAAAAGGAGGATAACACTTATCTGACCAATATGCCTGGAAGTTGAATCTTGATAGTAATCTTAAAGATCAGCTAATTTGCCTAGAGATATTTTAAAAACATTTTTTTGGGGGGGCTATAAAAGGCAATGAATGCTCAATTATAGAAAATTTTGAAATAAGGAAACAATCACATAATCCAAACCATGCTTTAAAAAATACATTTGCAATTATAAAAGACTATAGTTTGTATTAATATTATATCCTATCCCAAAACACTACTCTCATATGATATTAAATAAGATTTGTTTGAATTATAAAATATAGCAATTTAAATGTATTTAATTCTGAGTTCCCTAAAATATATTACTAACTTGAATAAGTATTCTAGTTAATGTGTAACTGTCTTGGTATTTAAAGTAATTTTTTCATTATTTACCCTAGCAGACTTGTATTTATCCTCTTTGAATATTTTTAGCATTTTCAAATAGCAGAAAAATATCTTTTGACTAAAATATCATAGTTCTTGGTTATGCTCTGCTAATGCATCTGTTTTCTAACTTTTCTTTGGTTTCATTTTTTCAAACAAATTTTTATTGGTTTACCATTAGTTTTCAATTCTATGTAAATGATGTACCACTTCACACCTCCACATACTTATTAGCCTCACTGCTCCCACCACAAAAGTCCTAGTGCCATTCCCATTATCATATTGACCCATCTACCCTTTCCTTACCCTCTCTCTTTGATAACCATTGTAATTATTTGGAGAGTCTAAGAGTTTAACATACATGTGACATGCAGTCTACGTTTTTAAGTATTTAAAATTCTATCCTTATATCAATTTAAATCATACAAAACTCTATGTGAGGAAACTAGAGAAGGACACTAGAGTCAAAAAACATAGCTGGAATCCTCACTTTCACTTTCTAGAGTTTTCCCTTCTATGGTAAAATTCTGGAAGAGGAAAACTTTCTATTGTGAAGAAGCCAGGTGGGCTTAGGAATGAGCCTCTCCAATGAGCCCTCTCTGCCTGTTCATTTAAGATCTTTAAAAAATAAGCTGCCTGACTCCCTCCCCCCAGACACTGGAACTGCTAATGTGCAGCCAGGTTTGGGAGTCACTGTCTATGATCAACTTTGTGAGTATCTGCTAGTTTCATGTGGGGATCTATGTCATTTGCTATTTAGGTTTTTCTTTGTGACAGAATTTTAAAAGCTAGAGAATCAGGAATCTTTATTTTTTTTTTCAAAGATTTATTCATTTATTTATACAAGCACTGGGTACAGTCAGAAGTGCGGGAGGGTGAGAGAACTCACCAGAGCCAGAGCGGGGAACTGAACAGGCAGAAGGACCGAAGCACACTGCTGAGGGGAGCAGGAGAGGTCTGCATGCCATGTGGGATCCTCACCCGGAGACCGGGTATCGAACCGGCGCTGCAGGGGCTGCGGGCAGCCTCGCAACCCAGTACTCAACCACTGCGCCACTGGGGAGGCCCCGAGAATCAGGAATCTTTAAACTAGGTGTCACAAACTAAAATGCCCGCAGGAACCAGGAAAGCCAAAGTGAGCCTTGGGAATAGCAGCAGTTGATAAATGAATTGGAGTGACTCTGCTCCAGCTGCTGTTGCCAGGCAGAAACTGTCAGTTCTTCTCATTTTTCTATAAAAGTTGGAGATAAATATTTTTATATGAAACTTTACACTTTAAAAATTGGGCGGTCAAATATCTTACAGGCTAAGTAAAAAGTCTGCAGGCAGGGTGAAGCTTCGCTTTTTCAATGTGGTGTTTGCAGGCAAAGAAATAAACTAATCACACAGATTGACAAATGCTAAAAGGTGACATTTTTCATCATATTAAGTCTAGTACTTACATGGACTTCCTTAAGCAAGTTTTTGTCTTTGATATTAGATAATTTTATGATTGAAGGATCTTTGATGTCCTTACTGCAATCACTCAATTCATTAGGGTGTCTTCCACTGAGGGTCCATACCTTAAAGTAGATTCAGAGAGCAGAACCCTTGCTTTCATTTGAGGAGCACCAACCAAGACTAGATTTCCACATGTATAATGCCAGGTCCCAGAAGATTCCCTGAAGAAGTGGGGCAGTGCCAGTATTCTCATGTGCTGGCTTCTTTTAACGAGAATGTGGAATGTGATTCACCAGTGGCAAGCCCAGGGGAGGGCAGGTATGAAAGGCACCAGAGAGGCCCAAGGCACTCCTGTGTTTCCAGGGAATATCAAAATCTCTAGATTCTTCTCAACTTTGTTCTGTGAATTAAAAGTGCTTAGTTATTCATGTGCAAGACACAGCTAAGTAAAATTCATGTTCATATTTTTATTTGTCTAAAATAAGTCATTTAACAAGAAAATCTGGAAGAACTTTCATAGAATGATAATAATGTACTTATGCTGATATCATGATCAAAATAATGGTTTTTAAGGAAATGTAACTTTTTCTTCTTTTTGGATTATTTTTAGATCATGATGCTGGAGATGGAGTCTTGAACATAGAAGAAGCAGGCCTGGTTTCAGAAGAATTAAAATGGGCATCCAGAACTGGAAGTATGAAGTTAAATGGAAAGGAGAGAGAATTAGACTGTTCAGCAAGCTGCTTAAGAACACAACCAAATCCTCAGAAACTCTGTGAAGATGGACCAGAAATATCTCCAGTTGATAGCTCTTTAGCACCCACTAGTGGGCATTTGTTAAGCAATGAGGATAAAACAGAAATAGATGAAAATCAATTCATAAAATCTCACAGTCAACCCTCAGTCCAAATTCAGCCAGTGGGAAATGTGGGACAGCTTCATGGTGTCACACCTGTAAAGGTGTGTCGTAAAGAATTACGTCAGATTTCTGCCTTGGAACTATCATTACGACGCTCCAGTCTTGGAGTTGGGGTTGGATCTGTGACTGCTGATTCCATTGACGTAGCCAGGAAACTGAGTGATTTGAAAACTTAAGTGTTTAATTATAGAATATTTAATTAAGTAGATGTATAAAAAGGTTCCTTTTTCTAACTTTTAAAGCTTAAGCTTACTAGCTTTTCTCTCAAGAGAAAGGAAGAAGGGGAAGAAGGACTGCCTAAATCCTTTTGTATACTATAGATATGTACACCTCTTATAGTATGTTTGGGGAGTTTTAATTTTTTTGTCCATAATAACTAAAGAAACATATTTTCCAGTACTGTTAAGTAGTGGAACTTTTAAATGTTTCTACATAAAAATTTGCTTGGATTTTTTTTTCCAGGCATATTTGAGAATAGAACTAAGTAGAATTATAAATTAAAATACCCACCAAATGTATATTATTATATAGTGAAAATGTATATTACAAAATATGTTATAATAATTATAATATTTTATATGTTCATATTGTTTTTTCTTAGAAGTACAGTTGGTTCTTGAACAACCTGGGTTTAAATTACAAGGCTCCACTAATAATGTGGATTTTTTTTCTATCAGCAGTTTCCACATTCATGGATTCAACCAACTACCGACGTCAGTAGGTTGAATCTCTTTATGTGAAACCCATGTATATGGAGGGCCAACTATAAATTATATGCCTCTTTTCAACTGCATGGGGGTTGGTTCCCCAAACCCCTAAATTGTTTAGGAGTAAACTGTGTATATTTATTTTTGTTAAATATTACTCGTATCAGAGGGATAGTAACCTGCTTCATGTGTTTTGGAGTCTGGGCTCCAAGATTCAGTCTGGGCTAAAGAAACTGGCTAAGTTGGGGTATGGATTAGGATAATTTATGGTCAGTCTTAATTTTGTAAACATGATCTTTCTTTTTTGGATTTTTTTTATTTAGTATTTTCATTAAATTATATTAAATATGAAATTATAGCTTAATTATAAAACCATAATATTATTTATTTAGAAAATATTAGAAGTTTGCTATTATTATGGGATATAAGTTTTCATATCTCTCCTGCCCTATCCCAATGTCCTTTCTCATTATGCTACTAAATTGGGATAAATGGATGCAATTTCATGTAACAGGGAAACAACGATAGAATAACACTAAAGCATTCTAACATTTCAAGGAAAAGATACCTGGTCATGTGGCACATGATTCTATAATGTGAAGTCAAACCAGAGGATCTTTAGCTAATAGTCTAATGGACTTAATCTGAGATTTTTTTTCTCTACAAACTGCTCAGTGACCCCTTGAAAACAGGGAGACCATATTGTATCAAGACAGTAAATAGATAAATGAAAACATTTCTTGAATATATTTTTGGTCTGCATCTTCCATATTATAAACTTCAGTTTGGGGCCTCCCCGGTTGAGCGCTGGGTTGCGAAGCTGCCCGCGGCCTCTGCGGCGCCGGTTCGATCCCCGGCTGCTCCCCAGCCACCAGAGGAGGGTCCCACATGGCGCGCAGACCTCTCCTGCCGCCTGCTGCTCCCCTCAGCTGTGTACTTCGGTCCTTCTGCCTGCTCTGCTCCCCGCTCTGGCTCTGGTGGATTCTCTCACCCTCCCAACCTTCTGGCTGTACCCAGTGCATGTATAAACAAACAAACAAACAAACAAATAAATAAATAAATAAATAAATAAAACACTTCAGTTTGGAATTAAGTAAACATTGATTTACAAATACAACCTGTACTTTATGATACTGTTCAATTACAGCAAATATCCCAGTGTAATGACCAGTTATTATTTTTTTTACTTGAACAAAATTTTACTTGTAAAATAAAGTTGAGTTTCTTTAATGAATGTTTGGAAGGTACAGTAGCAAAACCACCCTCACTTATGGGTATCTCCTCAATTAGAGTCACCCACTCTCTTGCTAAGTCCTTTTATTAAATCTAATATGCCACTGATTTTTTTCTTTTGTCCTTTTCTCTGTTATAGTGGATCATGACCACCTTATCTAAGATCTAAACTGATTCTGTACTCAAAGACTAAAGGTTTTCTTTTTCTAGTTTCTAGCACTAAAGGAATAAGTTTCCATAGTCCCATTGCTAAAAACCAGCGCCCCCAGGAAAAGAGCCATGGTTTCTCTCTCTCTTAAGCATGGTACTAAGATTCCTTTAAATTTTGACTGGGGTAGACTTCTGTGGATTTACCTGGGAACTGAACCACAACTTAAAACATTGGCCCAATGAGAAACTGCTTCAGGCAACTAATTTACAAACAAACTTGGAAATGTTAACGGGTAAGATTTTAAGTCAGATTCCAGTTTTAAGCTAATAGTCTCTTCTTTTGGCCTTTGTTTAATGATACCTACTTAATATATTAATGTATATGTATAATGGCAAAAGAGCTGTGCTTTCAAAGCACAACAATCATTTACTTATTAACAAGTGAGTATTTATAATGAAGATCCTAATTACATAATAAATTCCTTATCCTAGTAAATAATAATTTAGAAATAATTCATGTAATAATGTATTCTGACACTGGAATCCTGCTTGGCCAAGAAATTGACACACAATTGTTTACCTGTGGAAACGGAAACAATTTCTAAAAGCAAGAAAACTTTTATCAAACAAATGATAAGATTTGATGATACAAATTTGAACTGACTTCTAAATTACAAATATGCATTTTCCCCCTTTTGATTAAACACATATCTTTTATATGCTATGATAGATTTCACATACACACAAATAATGTCCTGAATATATATTCTGGAAATGAATTTATTGTCATTCTAGTGTAGTCATTGCCCTCACAAAGGAGAGAAAAAATAAGGTACCTCCCCCAAGGCAAGTAAAATAATTCTTTTACCTCTACTAATACCAAATTTTCCTCTGTTTCACATGTTTTCCTTAGTTTAAACATTTTGCCATTGTATTTGCCTTTTTACATGTGTATAAAATAAGTGTGAAGGTTTTGGGAGCTTCATTTTTTTTCTCCACATTTAACAAAGTATTTGAAATAGAAACATTTGCCCAGTAAAGTACTAGTTCCTTCCCTAATTCCAGAGTGTTAGAGATGACAGAGTTGGAGAAATCTTAAGTATGGGAATGATGAGTGACAAGAACATCAATAAAGATGATTTTATGTTTGTTATGCTAATTTTTTTGTCTCTCAGTTCTTCATATATTCATTAGGCTCAAAAGAGTCAACAACAATACATATGCTCCTCAATAATGTGTGCTTTATTGCCACTAGCCATTGTCCTGTTTGTATTACTGTAGGCCAGTAAAGTGATAAATCCTTATTTAACAGTGGCTGTGTTAGATGGAAGGGTGAAAAGGTCTTCACTAAATCTTAGAATGAGTTGTAACAGAGTCCGATCCTTAATGGGAGTTTGGTCGTATAGTCAACACAAATTTCATGCATAAATTACAATTCTGACATATTTTGCTCTTTGATTTTGTGACTTTTAAAACACTGGTATATCAATATTTGAAAGCTCAGTGTCCACTCCTGTCCACAATTCTCAACATCACTAGAATTTAAAAAAATATTGTGTGTATTATAACAGACTACAGGCTGCCTTCATGAGTACTAAAAATACCTTCTACATTTATATTTTTAAATTCGGGGAGAAAAGGTGGGAAAGGGATCCTTCTGCAACAAATATCTCAGATGCATTGTGTAGGTGTTATTTTTAGCTCATAGAAGCAGTAGTATTTGAAGAGTGGGGTAGTGGAAGCATCTGCTAATGGGGAGGGATATTTTATCACTGTCATTATTTACCTTGATGCTAATTGATTTTCACAGGGTTTGTCTTTAAATTCTCTACAAACAATGCACCCCTCACTGCTTGCATCAGGGGTGACTGCTTCCATTCCATGTTTTTAGGATGTAGTGCATACCTGGCACCAAATGCTGAAATAGTGTTTGATTTCTATAATAGCTTCAGGTTGACCCCAACCATACCCCAACATGGAATTAATTAGAATAAGAGAAATTATAAAAAGAAAGCTCAGTAAAACTTGCCATTTCCTAGGAATTTTCATAGTGAATCAACAGAATCGCCACTATTTGAAATGCTAGCAGTATAATTAAACTGAAGCCAAATATACCAACAGACTTAGGTATTAAGTTCCACTGGTTAATTACTACAAACAGCACTACTGCGCTACCTCTACAGTACTTTAAAAAGAGAAAAATACTACAGTATCAGAGACTGTTATAGTGAGCAAGAATCCTTACATTCCCAAGGAATAAAACCATTCACATCAGAAGAGTAAAAAGCTACATATTTTTAAAAACATTAAAAAAACAAGAACATACTGGGCCTCCCTGGTGGCACAAGGGGTTCAGACGCAACCTATGAAGCTATTCACAACCTCTGCAACACGAGTTCGATCCCTGGCCATGTTGCTAACTCACATGGCACAGCAGACCTCTCCTGACTTGCCCACTGCTCCCCTCAGCAGTGTACTTCAGTCAATCTGCCTGTTCTGTTCCCCACTCTGTCACTGGTGAATCTTCTCACCCTCTACACCTCTGGCCTGTACCCCAGTTCTTGTATGCATAAATAAATAAATCTTTAAAAAAAAAAAGAACATACTTAGGACTTCAAAATTTTAAAACTCAAGTTAACGTGTAACTCAAGTAGAGTGAGAGATGTGTTATGTTTTTAAGCTGATTACAGTATATACAAAGTAAGCTATTTTCCAAACCTGAAGTGTAAATATTGTTAGAATTTATTTAAGTGGAGTGGTTTAATTATTTTTAAAAAAAGATTTATTTTATCATGCATACAAAAACTGGAGTAAGGCCAGAGGTGTGGTGGGTGAGAGGATTCACCAGAGACAGAGTGGGGAACAGAACAAGCAGACTGACCGAAATACACTGCTGAGGGGAGTATCAGGTGAGTCAGGAGAGGTCTGCTGTGCCATGTGGGTCGCTCCCTGGCAAGCCGGGGATCTAACTCATGCAGCAGTGGCTGCAGATAGCTTCATAGGTTGTGTCTTAACTCCTTGCACCACCAGGGAGGCCCGGGTCTTACTTTTAAAAGATTCACTTCTTGGACCCTATTCCATCTTCCCCAATTACCAACAATAATTTATAGGCAAATTATAGCTTACTTACCCCTCCCTTACAAGCTTCCAGGATTCAAATAATTGATAAGAATAAGATAAAAAGAAGTTTATTTTAAAGCATTCCATACACCAGCAAAGAATATATTTATAATTATTTTATAAATATGATCTTTTATAAAATTTTTTTGGCAACAACACTGAAATTTAACTTCAATTTTTGGCTCTCTAAACCCTAAAGAATACTCCTAGTTATATACTGAATTTGTCATTTGAAAATAAACACCCCAGTTTTTATACTGGTTCTTTTCCTATGGTTACTATTAATTCAAGATTGTATGAAAAGAAGCCTAAAATTTGAATGGAAATTGTGGAGCCATTCAATATAGAATTATAAGAAACAGCAGTTTTGGATAAATTCCAGCAGCCATAACATAACCAAAGAAAATATTAGAAACTTAAATAATTTTACCATTAAAAAACTATGAATAGTAAGTATGTCAAAACATTTGCTTGTAGGACAAACAGCATTTATGTTTTATAAAATGATAAGCAACAATTTTGCTTAAATTTTCTCTGCAAAATATGCCTGAGTTTTTCTATTGAAAAATCCATGGATAGATGATTTCCATTCGTGACTACACATCAGCAGCTATTGGCTTGCCTTGTGAGGCTGAATTGATATTACTCACTTTTATTTGTGACCTGAAATGAGATTTCACTATCCACCATTAAAAGGAGTGATAAATTAATCTGAACTTTACTAGTTTGTAATTTTGATAATTTTTAAGCGTTAAAATTGTTAGTCTTGTTGCTTTGTAGCATGATTTTTTTTTTCTAGATGGGAAAAGCAGAAACAGAAAAGTATTTTTTTTTTTTTTTATAGAGGCATGTTTTATTTATTTATTTTATTTGTTTGTTTTTGTTTATACATGCACTGGGTACAGTCAGAAGCGCGGGAGGGTGAGAGAATTCACCAGAGTCAGAGTGGAGAGCAGAGCAGGCAGAAGGACCGAAGTACACTGCTGAGGGGAGCAGCGGGCGGCAGGAGAGGTCTGCGCGCCAAGTGGGACCCTCCTCCAGTGGCCGGGGAGCAGCCGGGGATCGAACCGGCGCCTCAGAGGCCGCGGGCAGCTTCGCAACCCAGCGCTCAACCGCTGCGCCACCGGGGAGGCCCCAGAAAAGTATTTTTATACTAAGGAACAAAACACCTTTTGAAATTCCCATCATCTGGGGGTTGAATAGCACTCAGTTGTTCCATTGGAAGCAAATGGAAACTAATCCTGTTTCACTGGACATTTTCCTAGTTAGGTACCAGATGCCACTGGTTATAAGCTACTACCAGAATGACCCAAGTTGCAACCTTATTAATGGTGTACGTCAAATAACGATATCGTCTAAAACATGAAACAATCTTCTATTTAAAAAAGCAATTTGTATGTTGTTTCTTTATGTTTAAAACCAAAATCATGTTGGGCCTCCCTGGTGGCATAAGGGGTTAAGCACCACACTATGAAGCAATCCACAGCCTCTGCAGCACGAGTTCAATCCCCGGCTGGCCAGAGAGAAACTTACAAGGCGAAGCAGACCTCTCCTGTTTTGCAAAACAGACTTCTCCTGTCTTGCCCTCAGCAGTGTCTTTCAGTCAGTCTGCCTGTTCTGTTCCCCACTCTGTCTCTGGTGAATCCTCTTACCTGCCCCCTCATCTCTGGCCTGTACCCTGGCTCTTGCATGCATAAATAAATAAATCTTAAAAAAAAATAACCACCAAAATCTTCCTTTTCAAATCCAACTCAAAGTAACTATTTAATAAATTGGAAAGGAAACTGCTATTTTTACTATAGGGTGACTCATCTGTTGCTTTATCAATACATGAAAGCACTTTGAAAGCTAAAGCATCATACATGTTTATGATGAATTATCAGGTTTTCAATAGAGTTGGTTGTCAAAATGGGATAACTTTTCAACACAAATGTGGTTATTTTTATATTTATATACATAATGGTGATTATATGTATAATATATATATAATATGGATGTATATAATGTTGCTTGTGTCTATAATAAAATTATCAGAGTTGGGCCTCCCTGGTGGCACAGCTGTTGAGCGCTGGGTTGCGAAGCTGCCCGCAGCCTCTCCATCCCCGGTTCATTCCCCAGCCGCTGGGTGAGGGTCCCGCATGGCGCGCAGACCTCTCCTGTCGCCTGCTGCTCCCCTCAGCAGTGTACTTCGTCAGTCTGCCTGCTCTGCTCTCCGCTCTGACTCTGGTGAATTCTCTCACCCTCCCATGCTTCTGACTATACCCAGTGCTTGTATAAATAAATAAATAAATCTTTAAAAAAATCAGAAAACTTTAAAAAAAATTATCAGAGTTTTAGATATATATGTTAGCAGCAATAGAAATAATAGTATTCTTTGGAAAATTTAATGTGGGTTCTATTCTCAAAAATACTTTAGGGCCTCCCCGGTGGCGCAGCGGTTGAGAACTGGGTTGCGAAGCTGCCCGCAGCCTATGCAGCGCCGGTTCGATCCCCGGCTGCTCCCCGGCCACCAGAGGAGGGTCCCACATGGCGCGCAGACCTCTCCTGCCGCCCGCTGCTCCCCTCAGCAGTGTACTTCGGTCCTTCTGCCTGCTCTGCTCCCCGCTCTGGCTCTGGTGAATTCTCTCACCCTCCCGCGCTTCTGACTGTACCCAGTGCTTGTATAAATAAATACAATAAATAAATAAATCTTTAAAAAAAAAAATACTTTAAAGACTTGGCTGAGTATTTTTATAGGTTTAAAAAGTGCTTCATAGCTATGTGATTTATGGTTGAAATAATATGGCTTTAGGTTTTTAATTACCAGTATTTGACTATTTCTTATTTAGCAAGTTATGTGACTTACTGGTAACATCTGGCTAGAAAATGACTTTTCCTAAAACTGAGAATCGTTTTTATTTGGTAATCACAAAAATATCTTAAACTGTAAAATAATTAATTTTTGGTATATGTATATAGGTATGATATCAAATTAACAGCAATCAGTATTCAGCATTTGATACTCTCAGCTACTACATACAAGCAGCATATTAGAATTAAATCTGACATTGCCATGGTGGTCTCTCCTTTATGAGCATTCTGAGGGAATTTTGTTCCCCTTAGTGTGCAAGTATCTGCCAATGTTAAGGATAATTTGTCTCTATTAGGTCAAAGCACCCATGACCTGAGCAACCAAGTAGCTGAAGAGAAACCAAGACTTTAAGGGAAATGGAACCTACAATCAGTAGTATTCTAGCTGATTGTGAACAAATGGGAGAGGAAGAATAGTAACATACACTTTCTTGGTAGAGTTACCTTCAGCAATACTGAGGTCTTAGGTTTACTACAAAGTTCACTGTCACGCCAGAAGGGAACTTCCCTTCACTTTCATTGGGGAATTCTGTTTCCTGCTTTCTTGGAATTCCTGTTTACTAGGTCCCATGTGTGCCTCTTTTGTGGTTTACCTCTTTATTTTCATAGGGTACCTCCCTCTAGTAGCTTCCTGGGTATATAGTAGTTAACATTTTTTTTAAAGATTTATTTATTTATACAAGAACTGGGGTACAGACCAAGAGCACGGGGGGGGGGGGGGGGGCGGGAGGATGGTGAAAGGATTCACCAGAGACAAAGAGGGGAGCAGAACAGGCAGACTGACTGAAATACACTGCTGAGGGGAGCGTGGGCTAGTCAGGAGAGGTTTGCTTCGCCATGTGGGCAGCTCCCTGGCCGGCTGGGGAATCGAACTTGTGCAGCAGAGGTTGTGGATTGGAGGGATCAAACTCATGTTGCAGAGGTTGCAGATTACTTCATAGTGTGGTACTTAACCCCTTGCGCCATGAGGGAGGTCCTAATTCTGCTTTTCTGTGGAGTGAGTTGTTCTTTTCTTAGTACTGCCTCATGTCCAGAGTTGCTCTGAGCCAACCTCTCCAGAAAGTGAACCTACCTTCTGCTGAATAAGGCATCAAGGGGTGGAATAGGAATTAGAGGGATGGATGCCACTTCTAGTTATGAAATTTTCATAATGAAGTCTGGTTTTCAGTCCCACTTTGCCTCTGCTGTCAGCTGTATGGCAGCTCTAGTTTCAGAACCTTTCCAGTGACTTCTCACTGGTTCTTCCCCTCTCAAAATCTTAAGATAAGTCAGTTATCACTCATCTATCTGCTTTCTATGTGCCTAAGTTTTGCTAACATCCTTTTTTGGCAGGGAACACTTTTCCCATTTGCTTTGTATTTATGGGTTTATACCACTTACATTTATTCACTGTCTTTTTAGTGAGGTCTCTGGAGTGGGTGGAGAAAAACAAGTTTGTTTGATGCACCATATTTAACCAAAAGTTTCCTTACCACTAAGTCTTAACATGTATTGATATAATGAATCTATTTTCTAAATAGGAAAAATCCAAGTAGGGCAATTCCACAAGAATTAAACATAAGTAAAGTAATAGAATAACTATATCAATATTTTATAGAATGCTTATATGTGCTAAGTAATTGTTTAAAGTGCTCGCATGTATTATATATATATTACATGTGTTACCCTCCCTATTACCCCACGAGGTGGTTGTTTTATGAATCACTCCCATGAGAGAAGTGATTCACCCCCAGAAGTCTCAAACTGGAGCCCCTATGCTTTACAAAATGGTACCTCATTTTCTAAGTTACAGGTGATCTTTTTTTCAATTTGTCAAATCTCCAATGAATACTTATTTGTTGTTAACTTAAGTTATACCTAAAGTTTTTCATGTAGATTTTGAATATTTATGGCACTTTATTTAATATGGCAAATCTGCCATCACTTTTGAGGTATCTATTTGAGGATACATGATGGAAGTAGAACAGAGTAGTCTATGACACATTTTAAATCATAGTCATTTAAGGGGGCCTGGCATGTATTCGTTTTACAATACAGGGTGGTGGACATTTCCTCTTGAAGAGTGCAGTTACCATTAATAATTTGAGAGGTCAAGAGAAACAATTTGAAATCTCACTTTAAACACATATAACTTAAAAACTTAAGTATTAAACTCCATTATGCTTAAATAATCACAAAAGTGCCTCTTTAAAGGAAACATGATATCTAGAAGATTTTCACATTTTAAATCACTGATGACCTTGAACATCCTAAGAAAATTCAACTCCACATTATTTGACAGCTCACCATTACTCTCTAAGGTTATGCATCTGTTACTATCATTTCTATGGATAATTCTTTGTGAGATAAATATATATATATGATTAGACAAATATAAAGTATGTTGTATAGTATAGCTGAGAGAAGTGAATACACACACACACAAAAACGTGTACATAAATGTTCACAGCAGCTTCATTTACAATAACCAAAAAGTAGAAACACCCAGTGTCCACCAGTTGATACATGGATAAACAAAATGTAATCAATTCACACAATAACAAAAGCAAAGTTTACTGCCTCTCAATTCCTTGACCAGCTTTTTTCAAACAATGAGATAATCTTGAGCCTTCTACCATCCCAGCTACCTCCTCCCATGATCATTCCTGACACCTTGATATTGCTGACAGCCACAGCTCCAGTTTTTTCTTTCTTAAAGAACTTTTTAAATTTTTATTTATCTTATTTTAAGATTTTATTTATTTTCACATAGAAGAACTGGGGTGGAGGCCAGAGGTGTGGGGGGAGGTGAGTGGATTCACCAGAGACAGAGTGGGGAGCAGAAAAGGCAGATCTACAGAAATACACTGCAAAGGGGAGCAGCAGGAGAGACAGGAGAAGTCTGCTGCACCATATGTGGGTTAGTTCCATGGCTAGGGACTGGACTCAGTCCTTAGTGGTGATGGTGACAGTATTGAGACTTAACCCCTAAGCCACCACAGAGGCCCCACTTCTAATTTTAATTTCAAGCCTCCTCCTCTCTAACCCATCTCTTATCTTTTCAGATTATTCCCTATAGTACCAAAAATTCAACAATTCTTCAACCTGATTGGAAACACCAATCTATTCACTCTACTATTTTTTTCACCATTCCCCACCCTTTATTGCCACATCTGATGTTATGTATTCTTTGCTTCTCCCTCAACTGCTTTACCCATCTTTCCCTATATTTGCCTGACCAAACCTCATCCCTGGTTAATTCAAAAGTGCCTACTCAGTGCCTGCACATGAGCAACTGAACATGAATGGAGAAAAATGTATAATTATATTGACTGGTCTCATTGTAAGTTCATGACCACTCACTCAGGTGAGCTCTTAGTAGTGCCAGGAAACATTACAATGCTTCTCTAGTCCATTCCCCCTCCCACACTCAGACTATTTCACTTCTTTTTTCTCCACACCCAATCTTTCCCCCTTATTTCAATTAACTGCTCTATTAATGTAAGTAGATTAAACTGCTATAACAAATACACCCCAAAATGTTATGACTCCACTCAACAGAAATTATGTAGCTCACATCATAATCAGGAGTGGGTGTTCCAGGTCAGTGGGCAGCTCTCCTTTATCTATGTACCTTTGTTCATGTGGCACTGTCAACCCCGGGGACTTGTGGTCGTCTGCATAGTCCAGCTGGCAGAAAGGAAAAATATGTTAAGGAGGAACAGTGGTCTGGGCAGTGGCAGACATCATTTTCTGCTCATATTCCACAAGCAACAATTGAACACTAGACCACTTCTAACCAAAAGAGAGGCTGAGAAAAAAATCTGTGTGTCTAGGAAGAAGGGGAGGATAACTGTGATGGACAATTAGTAGTCTGCCAATTAGTTATCTGACAAAATATTGAATAGAAGCAACTGGAAAAGAACTTCTACTATGGCCTGCTGTCAAGTCGTAAGCGTACTGCAATATCTCCCATATACATGGGAGCAGGGGTAGATTATATTTCTAGGCAATCTCCAGTCATATCGGGACAGTTGCCAAGTTTTCGAGTAGAATAACATGATATTCTAATGACCACACTACCTAATCACAAAATTCAAACATACCTTCTTTCCTTGTGTCTCTTAACCTCTATGGCTTGAGATATTGTTGATCAACATCCCCTTCCTGCCCCTGCCTTGTTGAAACTCCAATGTATCTTGTTTTGATGATTCTGTATTACTTTCGTTCCCTTTCTTCCTCCTTTCTCTTTCTCTGCTAGCTTTTCTCATTTAGAGTAGATCCCCTTTGTTTTCTCTCATCTAGGTCAGAGCTCTCAAGCTTTTATATGATCCATTTCACGGTGTTCTTGTGAAGTGGAAGATACTGATTCAACTGGGAAGGAGGGTCTACTTTTCTAACAAACTCCCTGGTGACACCAGTACTCATGAGTCATTGACCATACTTCGTGTAGCAAGGTTCTAAAGAGTATGTTCTCCAAGATTCTGCCTTTTGTTTTCTTCTTTTCTCTCAGTGATATCACTACTAGGTTAGTAACTTCTCAATCTATTTTCTGGTTCAATCATATTTTCCATATATCAAAACCTTTTTGTTTAGCTTCCTAGTGTTCTACCTCTCACTGTCTTGACAATTTTCAAACTCATAAGATGTCCACATCTAAACAGACTTCTCAAAAAGCAGCTTTTACTAGCTGTTGTTTTCTCTTCTTGCTATAATTATCTAGAAACGCAAAACCTCTACTTTGATTTCTCTCCTCCTCCTTTAGACATTCATCTTCATTTATGTTCTCAGGCTATTCCCTTTCTTGTAACACCAATCAATCGCCAAATCTGTAATTCTGCTTCTACATCATCTTTCAACCGTGCTATTTTAATTCTTCCTGACCCAACTTTATCTAGACACTTCATTTCCTTTTACTTGACCTGTTATACGTCTACCTGGCAGTTTCCCCACCTCCACTCTCTGCATCCATTCACAAAAAACCCTTGTTTTCTATTCCAAAATTTTAAGCCAGAAAACTAAAAGTGCTGAATTAAATATAGATTCTTCCATTTGTCACCCCAGACACCCTCCTCCTTTGCCTATGCTACTTATCAACATGCTCTAGAATCTTACCATGTTTTTTTTTTTTTTTTCCCCCTGAGGACTTTCATCGATTCACCTTTGTATATGTTCTCCTGTTATCCCTTCTTGCTGTAAAACCTTCCACCCATCGTCTTCAAGGTCAATCCCAACGTGCCTTCTCTATGCTGTCTTTCTTTTCTTATCTCCCAGACAGATAGGAGCAACTCCTTGATCTTCAGCAGTACTCTGTATTTTCACACAGCACCTGCCATGGTTTGTCTTTCATCATAACTTTCATCATTGTCTTATTCCTTACTCTCTGAAGACTAGGAGGACATCTTCAACTCCCTCCAGTAACCCAGTAACAGTACACTTTTGGGGCGTGTGTGGCTCTATTATTAGTTGCATCTAAGGGATTTAGGTGGACACTGTGATGCCGAGGTAAGTAGCCCAAACTATGAAGTCAGTGCAGCGGATCCCGGCTCTGCCACCGATTGTGAGGTTTTGGGTTAGGTCACCCGGTCTGCAAAATGAGAATATTGCTCCCGGATGGGGAGTCAAGGGAGATAACGTGAAAGTGCTGTGATGGACAGAGACCTGAGCTCTACAGAGAAGCCTCGTTATTTTCCTTGCAGACATCTCTCAGCTGCAGCCTTGCTCTTCAAAGCTCGCTCTGCAGCATCGCCCCTACTTTACTAATCGGACGTCGGGACCCGAGTGTGGCTGGGCCCCCGGGCCACCAGGTTCCAGGGCTCTCTTCCCTTCCCGGGGTCCCGAAGCGCTCCCCGCCCCACGCAGGTGGAGCCGCCGCGTCGCGGGGAACGGCCGGGAGCCCTGTTCCCTCGGGAGGCCTCCCTCCTTCCAGCGCTCGGGGCCAGCCCTGCTCGGCCCGGTAACCCCCAGACCTCGGCGCCGCCGCCTACGTGAGACGTTTGGACCCTGCCCGGCCCCCGTAGCTCCCCTTCTCCAGCAGGTGGTTCTGGTCTTCTCCCCCTAGTCAGGGCGCTCACGTCACCGGCGAACCTCGACCCACGCGCCAGCGCCACCACCCCCCCGAGAAAATAAACAAACCCCCGCGCGCGGCGGGCGCGCCAGGCCCCTCCCCGCTCCGCCCGCGGCTCTCACGCCGCCCCTCGGCCGGGACTTCCCTCCGGCCCCCGGCCTGCCGCCGCGCTCCCCGCCCCTCCCGGCCGCCGCGCGACCCCCGCGGCGCGCGCCCGCCCCCGCCCCCCGCCCCTTGACCCGGCCCGGCCCAACGCCCAGTGCGGCCGCCCGGGAGCGGCTGCGGCGGCGCGGGGGAGGCGGGCGAGGAGGGCCGGCCGCGGCCGCCCAGGCCCGGTGAGTACGCGGAGGGCGGGCCCGCCGCTCGGGGGTCCGCCGCGGCGCCCCGAAGGCGGAGTGGCGCCCCGACCGTGCCCCTCCAGCAGCCCGGGGCGCGGCGGTTGGAGACTCTCTGGGCCGGAGGCGACGGGCCCCGCGGGCCGGAGCCGCGGGGCAGAGGGCGCGGGCGAGACGCTCCTCGGGCCGGGCCGCGGCCCGGACGCCCGGCGCTCGCTGCGGGGCTGAGGGGAGAGAGCCCCGCGCCCGCCCCAGGCCCCGGCGCCCGGGCCCCGCGGCGCCCCCTGACACCCGGAGAGGGCTGGGGGCTCCCGGGGGCGCCGGGCCGCCGGTGACAGGTGCCGCTGCCCCCTCTCCGCCGCGGGCTCCGCGCTGGGTCCCCGGGCGCCCGGCGCTCGGAAATTTCTGGAGCGTTGACCTGACTCGCGGTGTTCTTGCTTTCAGGTCTGGAAGCCGCTTCGCCGCCCGAGTTGGGTCTTGTCCGGCCCGGTTTCTTGCTCGGTGTACTTTGTGCGGATAAGTTTTGGAGATTCGGTTCCCAGCCTCTGGGTGAAATTCTGCTTTCATTCATGAACAAGGTAGCGTGAATTACTTTCTGACTAAAGTGCTCCTCCTCCGCCCCGCTCGCGCTCGGAAAGTAGACGGGGAAGGTTTTGGATTTTGGTGTGGTTTGCTCTGGGCTGAGGTTGTGGAGAACTCGCAGTCTTTGCGAATGTTTCGCAGCTCTCTCGCCTCTAGGGTAGGTATTGAACCGTGATGACAGGAAGGGCTTATTAAATTGTCTTTTCTCGCCAGCTTCTTTGGGATAGTTCTTTCTTACCTTAACCGGATTTTACAGTTGAGCAGGTGCTCAGGCTGGCGTTCATTAAAAGCACTCGTGAAGGATCGTCATGACTGAAAAGCCAGCGGGTTTTTTTTTTTTTTTTTGCCCTCCTCGTTCAGCCTTGTCTGCTTTCTGCAGAAAATGTGCTCGCGGTGGTAACCTGAATCATCAGTTTAATAAATTGGACTATAAGAGCAGTAGAGAAACTTTATACAAATTAAAATATTAAAAATCTTTGCTCTAAAGAAATCTCGATTTTTTTTTCCCTCAACAGGTTTATAGCACTATAGGTTGGTATTGATCAAGTCCTAACTAATGGAAGATACTGTTAATTGTCGTAAATGGTTACAATAAACTGTCTGTAGGATACCAATGTAATGGCTTCACTTTGTGGACTAAGAACAAGAACCTAGAAGTTAACCAAGAGAACACTGGGGCAAATGAAATACTTGTGCTTTATTAATGGGAGTAGCCTTTAGGCTCTCACTCAGTGCCTACTTTTATTTTCTGCTTCGATTTTTCAGGTTACAGAAATTAAGAGCTGCAGATTGGTGAGAGGGGGCAGTAGGTAACTATGGGGGAAAAAAAAGAAATTTAGGGCCTAGCTGTTAAGTTTATGTGGTTTGCAAGGAGCATGTTAAGAGCAAAGTTTTGGTATACTCTTGACACTTGTTGGCAGTGAACCTTATAAAAAGCCAGAGTGAAAGATATTGCATAGTTTATTTGAGGAATAGAACAAGAAATAATACAATTAAGACATTTTATCAGGTATTAAACCATTGACATTAGTGTCATTTTATTTTTTTGCTAAATTTGTTTTTTATTTTTAAGCATAAGTTACCTTTCAGTGAGGCCATACTAATTGACATCTACTTTGTGCTAATTTTTTTAAATCAGGTTAACTGATAGAGTTAATGAAAGATGGCTGTCATTCATTGTATAGAAATATATATTTGGTTGTTTCTGATTGAGAATTACATCCACATATCAGTCTGAAGTGCCCAATCAGTACCATCTTTCTTGACCCTAGAGAAGTCATAGTACAGAGAGATGAGGTCACAGTGGCGGAGGCTCTCAGAACCCTTTTGGGAGAGGAACTCAGGAGTAGCAGCCATTTAGAAATCTTACTGCCTGCAGTTTAAGCTATTCATTTAAAAAATGTTTAAGTGGGACTCCCCTGGTGGTGCAGCGGTTGTCCCTGGCCACTGGGCAAGGGTCCCACATGCGTGCAGACCTCTCCTGCTGCGCCTGCTGCTCCCCTCAGCAGTGTATTTTGTCAGTCTGCCTGTTCTGTTCCCCGCTCTGGTGAATTCTCTCACCATCCCACGCTTCTGACTGTATCCAGTGCTTGTATAAATAAATAATCTTAAAAAAAAAAAAAGTTTAAGCACCTGATGAATCATAATTCGTTCTAATCAGCATTTTTTTTTTAAAGATTTATTTATTTATTTATTTATTTATACAAGCACTGGGTACAGTCAGAAGTATGGGAGGGTGAGAGAATTCACCAGAGCCAGAGTGGGGAGCAGACCAGGCAGAAGGACCGAAGTACACTGCTGAGGGGAGCAGCGGGCGTGGCAGGAGAGGTCTGCACGCCATGCGGGACCCTCCTCCGGTGGCCAGGGAGCAGCCGGGGATCGGGATCGAACAGGCACTGCAGAGGCTGCCGGCAGCTTTGCAACCTAGCGCTCAACCGCTGCGCCACCGGGGAGGCCCCTAATCAGCATTTTAATACCAATTATGTTCCCCGAACAAAATTATTTCTGGTAGTGATTAGAGTGGCACTTACACTGAAACAACTTTGAACTGCTCATTGATCATTGTTAATTCACTTGTGTTATTGGAATTGGGAATTATTTATGGGGCATTTTGCATTTCTTTTTGCTTTCTTTCCTACTGTACTAAGTACGCAGCATAGATAACTATGTCCTTGGAGAATGTAAAGGCAACAACAAAAAGCAAAATTGAATAAATTTATCTTTCATGTGTCAGGTCCTGTTTTATATTTTAGGGATAGAAAGTACAGGCCCTTGTCTTTCAGGATGTTGAAATCAGGACTATAGGGGCATGCATATAGACATTAACAGTAAACATAATTTTAATGGGTGGCTATTCAATGATAAAGGTAAATATAAAATAGCAAAAAATATAATAATACAATGGAAGGAATGATTAATTTTGGGGAGCAGGTCAGAGAAAATGTGATAGAGATGCCAGCACCCTGTCAGCAGTTTGAGGATTGAATACAGGTTTTTTTGGGTAAAGATTTATTTATTTATGCATACAAGAACTGAGATACAGGCCAGAGGTGTGGGGAGGTGAGAGGATTCACCAGAGACATTGGGGAACAGAACAGGCAGATTGACTGAAATACACTGCTGAGGTGAGCAGCGGGAGAGTCAGGAGAGGTCTGCTGCGCTATGTGGGGAGCTCTCTGGCCAGGAATCAAACTCATGCTGCGGTGGCTGCGGATAGCTTTATAGGTTGTGTCTTCACCCCTTGTGCCACCAGGGAGGCCCTGAATACAGTTGTTGTTTTTTTTTAAGATTTTATTTATTTATGCAAGAACCGGGGTACAGGCCAGATGCGCGGAAGGGTGAGAGGATTCACCAGAGACAGAACGGGGAACAGAATAGGCAGACTGCTGAGGGGAGCAGCGGACGAGGCAGGAGAGGTCTGCTTTGCTGTGTGGGATTCTTGCTCAGCCGGCCAGGAATCGAACCTGTGCTGCAGAGGCTGTGGACAGCTTCACAGTGCCGCGCCACCAGGGAGGCCCCTGAATATAGTTTTTAAGTGGAAGAGATGAAGGGTATTTTAGGCAAAAGAAATCCATAAAGATATGAATAATTGAAGCTAAAGGTGTGTTCAGTAAATTTTAGGTAGATTTTTTTTTTTTCTGGAGTACAAAATCTAAGGATAGTTGCAATAGGAACTCTTAACATATTAATACTTAATAAGTAAAGTAATTGGCTTGTTGAGTATATATAAAATGGAGACTACTAATTTGACATTGCTTCGATCTCAATTATAGAGGATTTATTTGTTTTATACTAATGGCAGTCATTAAGAAAATACAGATTATACTTATATGTGATGAGCTGCCTGCATATTTATATTTGTGAACTTATTTGTGTTTTTTTAGCATTTTGACCTGAAATATTTATTCATTCTGTGAATTTGCTTTTCCTTCACCTACTTAAATTTGCCTTAAAATTATTTTTTTAAAAGACCATGGGAAAGAAAGAAAATTGGAGAAATAGCAGGGGAGGAAGAAAAGCTCTATATCAATTGTTTATCTTGTAGATAGGAAGATACTTAGGACACAAGACTGAGAGACTTTGAACCCTAGCCGTGTACTTAATAGTATTTTTAAAAAGCCCAGCGTTCTTGTGGTCCGCCTATTTATCTCCTTTCCTTTTCAAGATGTAAGAAAAATGTTACAAGTAAGTTCCCTTTTTTTTTTTTGCAAATTCCAAAAAATTTGTTAATGAAGGTAATGTTTTCTTAAAAACATGCAGCATAATCAATCTATGACAGTTGCTTTCTGTCATTTGTCTTCTGATTCACTAACATCAAGGACCAGCAGCATTTCATTGTCATTTACGACTTGTAGTTTTACTTTGTTTGTTTTAACACATGGCAGAAGTATCAATAACTCATTGGTTATATTACACTGACCTCTTGGAATGTGTGTACATATGACCATTTTCTCTTTTCACAATGAGGTATTTTTTTTCTTATGGAAGAAATATAGTCACTATAGAATATTTGGGGAGAGTTACATGTGAATGATCAATGTAGAAAGGAAAATGAGCATAACGAGTAGTCTTGTGCATTTTCTTCTATGTATATAAACAGTGCACAGATTTATAGGTTCGGGTTATTTTTAATGCCTTTTATCTAAAATTTACATTTCCCACCTTTTCTACTTCTGAAAGTAGTGGTTAGTGTACTTTTTGACACAGTACATAGATTTGTCTTATGGGTATTGAAGTAGACGATGTGATGGTTATTTTTCATATGCAGCATGTGGCGCAGGTGATTGAGCCCTTTCAGTTGTCCCATCTCCTTACCCATTCAGCTGATGACAAAGTAGAGCTGTTTTTTCCTTTAGTATTTGCTCTTATGTAAAATACAGTGCAAGCGGCCTCCTCTTTCTCTTTTGTTTTCCTGTGCTTACCAAACAAGAGATCATTGTAGTTGAACATTTACCCCTTTCAATTCTACCTTTTCATAAGTTAAAGAAGCATTTTTAAAATACATGGGTTGCTAAAGCTCAGAAAAATAATCATTTTGTCTTTTGACAAAGTTAACTCTTCTAATGCTTTCTTTACTGTGTCTTTTATGGTTTCTTTTCATTCATTCAGGAAATGTTGTTTGTTTACTGTATGTCCCTGACTGACATATCACTGTGATTGTTGGCTCTCAGACATATTGGTCTTTTCCTTTTGCAGTATGTTAGGTACCGTCTTTAGGTCTTTGACTCTTTTCAGTGACTGAATGCTCAACTACTACTTCTCAATCCTAAAATCTTTTTCTATTTATTTTAAAGATCAAAGCCTTAGTTTTGAGAAGATATTGATTTAAGTTTCAAAACACTTCTTGAAATGGAGGCAGACATGCTTAGCCAAAATTTTAAGTAGCTATGCCAGTTCTCCAGTGCCTTACAGGACTCCACAAATTTCAGTCAACAGTAAGAATAGGGTCTCTCCGGTGGCGCAGTTGGTTGAGCGTAGCGCTGTGAAGCTGTCAACA